GATTCCTATAAGAGCACAATAAAAATAAATACCTTCTAAACCTTTCAGTCAAAAATAAATAAATAAAAAAACCATCCATGGTCTTGTACCAGAGCGGGAATGTCTTCAATCCAGATCTGTTCTCAGGCGTGCGTGTCTCAAGAAAACAATCATTAACTCACTCGGGTGAACTGTCGTCTAAATAAAGATTAAACATTAAGGATTAATCCATAATCCTGAAAGCTTGTCTAACATTACTTTACAATGTAACCAAGGCAGATCATCGATCGGTTAATCGATACACCTTTGATGCGTAAAGGGGCGAGTGAGCAGTCACCGGTTGTGATTTACGTTCTACGTGACATCTGCCGTAGCCAATGGGGGTAAACGTTGCATAACGCTACAGTCAGCAAAATTACGGTTTTTCGTGGCTTACAATATAAGTTTAGACCAGACAGATCAGTGGTTGATATCATGAGCAACGAACTATCCACGTCGTTAGACAGAGAGGTAACTCCACGTAGTCAGACAGGTAACTATCCACGTGGGTAGACGGACGGGTAACTCTCCACGTAGTCAGACAGGTCACTATCCACGTGGGTGGACAGACAGGTAACTCTCCACGTAGTCAGACAGGTAACTATCCACGTGGGTAGACAGACAGGTAACTCTCCACGTAGTCAGACAGGTCACTATCCACGTGGGTAGACAGACGGGTAACTCTCGAAGTAGTCAGACAGGTCACTATCCACGTGGGTAGACAGACGGGTAACTCTCCACGTAGTCAGACAGGTAACTATCCATCTGGGTAGACAGACAGGTAACTCTCCACGTAGGTAGACAGGCAGGTAACTATCCACGTGGGTAGACAGACAGGTAACTCTCCACGTAGTCAGACAGGTCACTATCCACGTGGGTAGACAGACGGGTAACTCTCGAAGTAGTCAGACAGGTCACTATCCACGTGGGTAGACAGACGGGTAACTCTCCACGTAGTCAGACAGGTAACTATCCATCTGGGTAGACAGACAGGTAACTCTCCACGTAGGTAGACAGACAGGTAACTATCCACGTGGGAAGACAGACAGGTAACTCTCCACGTGGGTAGACGGACAGGTACCTCTCCACGTAGTCAGGCAGATATAACTATCCACCTGGGTAGACAAACAGGTAACTCTCTACATTGTCAGACAGGTAACTATCCACGTGGGTAGACAGGCGGGTTTCTCTCGAAGTAGGTAGACAGGTAACTCTCCACGTAGTCTGACAGGTAACTATCCACGTTGGTAGACAGACGGGTAACTCTCGAAGTAGGTAGACAGGTAACTATCCACGTCGTTAGACAGACAGGTAATTCTCCACGTAGTCAGATAGGTAACTATCCACGTGGGTAGACAGACGGGTAACTATCTACGCGGGTAGACAGACGGGTAACTATCTACGCGGGTAGACAGACGGGTAACTATCCACGTAGTCAGACAGGTAACTATCCATGTGGGTAGACAGACGGGTTTCTCTCGACGTAGGTAGTCAGACAGGTAACTATCCACGTGGGTAGACAGACAGGTACAAAAAGTAACTCTCGAAGTAGGTAGACAGACAGGTAACTATCCACGTAGGTAGTAAGACAGGTAACTATCCATGTTGGTAGACAGATAGGTAACTCTCGACGTAAGTAGTCAGACAGGTAACCAGACAAACGAGTTAGTGGGAGCATGAACAATGACCCGCGACACAGCACGTCAAGTTACGATGGCACGCAATCCATTGTAACTGCGGGATTCTCATTCGTCGGTTACAAGGGCAGACATTTTCCGTGCTGGAATCAATGACGGGTCTTGCTGATGAAGATGTATACATGTAGGATTCAGATGGAGACCGGGTGTCTTAAGAGTGTCTTCAAATAGGTCTTTAAAAATGCCACCCATCTTCCGATTGGACATGTATGTTTATGGTGTGTCTTTCTAATGGAGTAAACAGGGGAGATAACTACGAGTTTAGTTTAAACAACTTCTCTCACAACTTCTCTCACAACTAAATAAACGGGAGCAGAGGTGGCCGAGTCGTTCTTTCGTTCTGGACCAGATAATCCACTGAATGACAACATGAGCATCGATCCACGCAATTGGGATCGATGACATGCATCAACCAAGTCAGCGAGACAAACCTAGAAACATAATCGGGGTGAACCGGGATTCGAACCCACAATCATAGGTTTCTGGCATGTCCAAGGGACACAACTCTGCACAGCGAATCGCGGCGCTTTAGACGACTGGACCACCCGTGCCCATTACATAGTAAATGAAAAACTACATATCACATGCAGTGTCACAGCCTTGTGGTTAAAGCGTTCGCTCGTCACGCCGAAGATCCGGGTTCGATTCCCGACATGGGTACAATGTGTGAAGCCCATTTCTGGTGTCCCCCGCCGTGATATTGCTGGAATATTTCTAAAAACGGCGTAAAACCATACTCACTCACTCACTGACAGATGTGATTCCGGAACTTCAGTGAAAGGTCATGAAATGTATATCCAAAAGCAAAAACATATATAACTGCCATACTGTAATCCCCGGATGTATAGGCTATGGGCAAAGCATAATCAGATAAAACACACATAGGTCAGTATAGGCGTCGGAGATATGCGAGTCTAAAATAAACCAAGTATCGGTACGAGTGTTTACACTATTTAGGCTCTATATGGCCACACGTGAAAGTAGTTTCACCTTAAACCAGGTCAAGTAATTCATGTCACCGCGGTCTTTGGGTTAACCCCGCTACAGAACACTTAACAGATCTGACCAGTGAAGATTCCGGGGTAGAATAGGTCTTCAGCAACCCATGCTTGCCGTAAAAGGTGACTATGCTTGTCGTAAAAGGCGACTAACGGGATCGGGTGGTCAGGCTCGCCGACTTGGTTGATGCATGTCATTGGATTGTCTGGTCCAGACTCGATTATTTACAGACTGCCGTCATATTGCTGAGTGCGGCGTTAAACAACAAACAAACCAACCAACCAACCAAACTTAACAGATCTAGAACCTCCTTCTATGGATAGGAGTGGGGGTCGGGAGAGTGAGTGAAGGTTGTTTAACGCCGCAGTCTGGAATATGCCAGTCACAGGGACTTGTACCGCAAAAAATAGCAGCTACAGGATATATGGTTGGTTGGTTTGTTGTTTAACGCCGCGCTCAGCAATATTCCAACTATATGACGGCGGTCTGTACATAATCGAGTCTGGACCTGACAATCCAGTGATTGACATCATGAACATTGATCCACGCAATTGGGATACGATGACATGCATCAACCAAGTCAGCGATCCTGACCATCCGATCCCGTTAGTCGCCTCTTACGACAAGCATAGTCGCCTTTTACGGCAAGCCTCGATTGCTGAAGACCTATTCTACCCCGGATCTTCTAAATATGGCGGCTTGACTGGCATTTATGAAACAGTGAAACCATCATGTCAGCCCTTACTCATACGTGTATTCATAGATTAATCAAGGGGAAAGAGTGGGTACTGTATCGGGTGTTCACCATGATGACTGAACTGCGTGTATTTTTGGTCTTCGCATCCTGTAGGGTGAATCGTTGCTCAAACTTTCAACCACTGGTTTCGCAGACATAGATATCATTATCTACATGTTGTCGTCATAAAACGGAAATATTACTGATTGCGGCCTTTAACAACATTCACTCACTCACATAAACATTTGTGATTTGATATCCGGGTAGTATATGTGTAACATATTTCAACAGTGATGGGTTGATCGTCCACGGCCAAGCATCCACGAGCACGACGATAATTTGTAGGTCGTCCCATGAAGGAACATTTTAAACATGTTCACCAAATAGTTTCAGTTTTTTGACATGGCACCCAAGGGGTATGGTATAAATCATTTGTAAAATAAATATACCCGCATATGTGTTGGCTTCAAATGCTACAAATACCAATCTATAGGTTTGTAAAAACTGTATTAGGTGTTATGCTCCATAACATTTCAGCACGGGTTTATTAATTATCGTTATCAATTAATGGTATTCCTAACTACATAGGACACGGGCATCCTTATAACCACGTTACAATTAGGTTTGAAGGAACTGCCTTATTGCTTTGCCCTTTTCTGTATTACGCTATCAATAAGCAAGAAGTATGCCTTTTAATGGAGTCTTAATATCGATATATGATAGCGTTATGAGTTCAATGTTTCCTCAAGCAATTACCAAAATAACGCCATCTGCGGAACGTGAATCAAAGCATCAATCACCACCTCACCATGGAAGCAAGCTACTTGTATCCATGTGGATTTTAAACCTTGGGGCGCCCCCCTGGTAATACGTCCATCAATCCGGTGTTACGTCATAGCGTTGCGTAACTGTTGTGATAGATCAATTTCAGATACATCTGGAAAGGTCTCCTCTGTCATGGAGTCCGTAAAATTGAATTGTCTTGACCGTAAAAACACTAGTCAAATTTTCAAAAGAAAAGTTCATGGTCCAGTAAAAAAAGGTCCATACAGGCACTATAATCTTGTCAATCACTTCAGTGCAGTATACCAAAGAATTCTATATATGTCTTTGAGTAGGCCTATACGAACTTGAGGAAATGCCTTCGATAAATAAAACAATAACTTAAATAGCAATGACATATGTTTAAGTAACTACGTTTGGAGACAGTGATTGTCATACAGATAACTGAATGGCATTACACCTGTAGGATAAAATCATGTTGAATTGTCACATTAATGTGCAGACCTTCGAGGTCCCTCTCAAGGTTGCAAACAGATGGAATTTACTAAACCTTGTAGAGTCTACTACGTTAAAGTGAAAAACAGCCAGAACTAGTGATCTGCACAATAATTTAAAGTATAAATATAATAGATTATTTCACATAATCCGAACGACGTGAATTTCGTATTTTGGTTCGCTGTATTATCTCCCTTGGCGGATATGAACTTTGACTGTCAAGGCACCCATGTGATTTAAATTTCAGCCAATCACAAATAATCAATGTTGCCGCCATCTTTGGCGAGAAATACGGCGAGACACTGTCTCCGAAAATTTAGTGTCTAATCCGTAATTACACAGAAATATTTTAACAATAAGTAGTAATTGTTTAAGACAACCCAGCCATGGCGACTGAAGGGGGTGGCAAGATTAAACCTAAACGCAGCCACTCGACTTCAAAGCCATACGAAAGACGAAAGGTAGGGCTTTTGCTGGTACACGTGAGTTTTGTCTTACGTGATCACTGCGATTGTATCTTCAGTGCAGTGTTCGTGAACGCTCAACATGAGTTCGATTTCCTGTTAACATACATGTTACCTCTGTAGATCCTGATTTTGAAGAAATTGATCTTTGAAAAGTCCAGTACTTCACTTCAACTAGTCGTGATGCATGCTTGGCGACATGATTCTGTAATTTACAAAGTGAAACTTGTTCTCAATCGAATATTGTTTTTTAACCACATCATATACCTAAATAGAAGTTTGATGTTAACTCTCCCCAAATACTGCTTTGTAATCAGCCGGCAGTTGGTGATAGACAAGCCAACAACTTGTATATCATTTAAAAACAATTAATTTGAATTACATGATTTAGTTGAAAATTATATAATTGGAGCATGTACTTCACTAAGATTACTAACTGACGTTTCTTTGTCAGTATTTCTACCCAAGGATGAGGATAAGGATGTACATTTACTTATGTTAACATGGTTCTCTAGGGCTTAAATTATTCATTGGTGTGCTTATGTATCTATATAATAATCATACTCAGAAATCTGATACATAAGTTGGGCCTCCTATGTATGCAGTAATACATGCTACACACTTTGTTTCTTATTGATAAACAATTTTTTTAGATTATGATTTGCTTTACTGTTTATGTTGATTGTCTACTCATTTTATGACAGTTTACTAGTACTACTACACGTAGTCAGAGCTTTAATGCTTCAAATAAGCTGTGTACTTGCGTAAAAAACACTAAAAATATCTCCATAACCTGATCAATTTTAAGTGGCTTGTGCACAGATGCGCATGAAACATTTCAAAACCCAGTAGATATAACACTGCGTTATTAACCAATGTGTCATTTGCCAACTTGTGTACCTGTATTTCTTCACATATTTTATTTGCTGACGAAAAGCAGGCATCACACATTCATGAACTCGACTGCAGTGGCTAATACTTAATAAAGGTACAACATCTCGCGTATAGTTAATATGCATCTGAGTTTATGCATGTTACATTCTTGGGGTAACACAAAGTCACCTAAAACAGCATTTGAAGCAGTGAAAGAAAACCCAATGGACTATATGATACACACCCCCAAAAACTGTCAATACACAATGTGCGTGATAACGTGTGAATATATACTCAGTGGACAAAAAGAATTATCTGGAGCCCTATTAAGTTGAATGATGATATTATATAAAATAAAAGGTGAAAAAGCGGTCCCTCAAAGGAAATGAAAAGTGTTTATAGTAGCACTGTTTATTCCAAGTAATTCACACTCACTAATATACTTACTGCTTGTGTCATGTTTTTCTCGTGTGTCTCATATTTGTTACTGTAACATTTCAGTCGCTCCTGGGTAAGGTGACGGATACTGTGAAAGATTTGCTTGCTCCATCATGGTTGACAGATTTTGTATCCACTGTTTCCAAGAAGACTCCTCCCAAAGACAAGAAGGATGCTCTCATAGAAGAAGAGGAAGATGTGTTTATGGTATGTAAAACATGCTGTTGGATTGTGAAATTAATGTACCTTCAAGCATGTTCAGTGCACCCACCAAGTGGTGGGATGGAAGTGTATTTAGTAGGGCCGTTACGATTCACTTGCGGATTCAGCGAATCGAACCGTATCCATTCATGAATTGAATTCGTTATTTGTGGCCACTAGATAGTAGAATCAAATATTTATGAATATGCAGTCATGTGCATTTACATACCCTGTACCTAAAACATCCATAAGAGCATATGATATGCATAGATTTCTTTAAAGACAACACTCTTATGATAATTAATATGACAGGAATTTGGTCACTGGTCATTGTAGCATTTGAGCAGATACTAAGACTAAGTACCTGGACAAGTGCAGTATATAAATGTATAATAAAGATAATTAACAAACCATGTCAAATAATTTATGTTGTTAATGTTTCACTGAATATAACAAATAATACATCAACTGCTGACTTATTATTGTATTTGTGAATTAATATTTGTATTCATTACCCTATATTTGTGATACAAATCATATTCGCCTCATAGTGTATTTGTTGCAGCCCTAGTATTTAGTCCAAAGGTGCCACAGCTCTTTAGCATTGTTTAGGAGGGCAAACAGGTACAGACCGCCGTCATATAGCTGGAATATTGCTGAGTGTGGCGTAAAACAACAAACCATCCATCCATGATCAAATTGTAACCAGTACAACTTACCTCAGAGCTCCAGATAAGCTACGTATCTGCGTAAAATACGCATCAGAAATGCAGAAATACGCAGTAAAATAAAATCCAAGCGTATCAAATATGCAACGAATATTACAGATACGCTACAAAAATAAAACTTTTGCGTATCATCAAAATATTGTGAAGTAACCCTGCGTATTTGATTAGCAAATCAGGAACTTATTTTGAAATTATAAACAGGCATTCCGTCAACCTTGCCAAACTCCACGATGACAGTAACATCATGATTATTTGCCATCCCACTTTCTTGTGGAAGTATCGTGGTATTTTTGTGTCCTATAAAGCTCTCGAACCCACACAACACCAGTTTGCAGGGACTAGATGAATAGTGTTTTTAAATATTTTTCTTAAATACCCACATGTGTAAAAACTAGTGGGTAAGAGAAATTTGAACACCCAGATAGAATTACTGATACACAATGATTTTAAAATGCATGGGTAAAATACCCACAACACCAAAAGCTTATCTAGAGCTCTGTAACCTGAATTCTTTTCAAAATACATGTATCACTGTTGTGCCAACATAAGACCTACACAACACAATATCTGTGTCATGAAAACGTTCACTTTGCCAGCATCCATGTTTAGAGAAGGTAAAATATGCTAGAAATGATAGATAATGTCGTGTTTGGTGTTTTTGCTGACCTCATGTAAAATACAACATTTATTTTTATGTGTGCCATCGGTAGGGCTGGCAAAAAAAGATCGATAATAAACAATTATCATCAATGGGAAGAACTATTAACGATTATCGATGAAAATTGTGTCATCGATAATACCTTACTTAAACTTTTGTGATTAGATTAAGTTTAGATTTACCAAAACGGACTTGTTATTGTCAATAATGTTAATTGCTGAAGATGGAAAGTAACTGTTTTTGTTATATCTCAATTGTCCACAAAGTAATCCCTGAATAAATGTGCCACCACTCACCAGTGGAGTGAAATATGTTGATTTCTTTAGGATTAAATTTGCGTATTTGCTGAAACATACTTCTCCGATATTGATAGATAATTGATCAATATTTAGTAAGCGTATTGATCTCTATGATCTGTATCGATAGCCAGCCCGAGCCATTGGTTCTCAAATACAAGGAATAAACAAGAGGCAAAGCTTTCATTCCTCAATTCAAGTCTGTCTGTGTATCTTGGTGCACTTGGAGTAGACATTAACTGCTTGATTGATCATGTTGATAATCATAATCCATTTTGAGATAGTAGACATAGTGATAATCTAAGTAGTTGTCGTATCGTGTATACAACTGCTGTAACAATTCAAGGTAGTGCTAGCCTAAGAAAATTGTCACAGTTATGATGAGTTATCATGAGGTAAGGTCATTATTTGCCATGTCCAAACAACTACAAGCTGAAAAATCCTGGCAAGATCCACATCAGTAAATCATAAAAACGACAAATAGTATATGACCTTAGATAAGCCGATCCCATAGTTATGCTGAGGTATAAACTTGAGCCTTGAAAGAAGTATCAAAATAGCATGTCCTGTAAATTAGGTGGACTACACTCTACATACATCTTCTCATAATGATCCGGTGGCGGAGGGGTAGCCTGTTGGATAAAGCTTTTGAATGTCACATGAAAGACCCTGGTTTGATTCCTACATGGGTACAATGTGTGAAGCCCATTTCTGGTGACCCCAGTCGTGATATTGCTGGAATATTGTTAAAAGCGGCATAAAACCGTACTCACTCACTCATGCACCATTGGAAATAGAATATCAACCAATCCGTATTGTATTATGCATGTTAAACCTATCTGGTAATGAAAAATGTTCCTTGTATATCTAAACGTATGTTTGTAATCTATTTTATTACTGTTATTCAAAATTTTCATTCCATAATCAGATAATGTTTACATTAATTTTGGCAAAATCGTGTTTCCCTACGACATGTACGGTACTTATAAGTTATCTTTACCCTTTTCCACATACCATGATAGCACCATGTCACATCCACAGCAGCCATGATCATATTACCTGATTATCACCACTGACGCCTTGAAACAAACTTTAGTTGATAGAGAATGGATATATATGTCATAACTGCCATACTTTGGCTTGTTTAAAGTCATTTTGTTATTGCAATCGAAATAGCTGGACCATGCAACATCTCAACGCTAAACGGAAACGGGTCAAATGGTTCCATTCATAAAAAGTGTCTGACAATGTACCAAAGTCCTACCGCATAACCGTGGTTGTGGTTATTATTTTAAATATTAATAGTAAGACCTGCATCTTAATGCATCTTAAATAACATAATATTATCGAATGTAATAATAGTTTCAGATACTATTTCATCCGACCATTGCATTAAGTAGGGCTGGTTATCGATATGGATTACTCGGGTCGATTATCGGTAGTCACATATCGATCAATAATCGATAAATATCAAAGAATTCTATTTTGGTAAAATGACATTACAGAAAAATGGCAATTCACTTCTCCGGAGACTCAGTGTTTCAACAATACGCACGTTACATCACATTTTTAGCGATGAACAATCTGAGTTTAAGATTCATGTCGTCAAAGACAATTATTATTTGTATAAAGTGAGAATACCGTATTTTCTTGAGTATTCCTTTTAATATTGTTTTTATTAATTTCGGCGAAATCGTGTGTGAAGCGATCGGAAGATCGCACAACTCACCGTTATTAACAGCAACCACGGTCAGAATACCGCTATTGACGTCTTGAAACGAACTTTAGTTGACAGAGAATGGATACATATATCATAAATGACATACTTTGACTCGTTAAAAGTCATATTTGTTTTTGTTTGACGATTCTATGTCAACATGAAATTCTCGCGATCACGCGATCACGTGCGCGTGAACCTTGACGGTGACTGGTCAGACCATGCAGACTGGGTCCATGTAAAAAATAATACCCGGGAATAGCGATCAGCTGCTTCGCTTAGGGTTATTATCTATTTTAAATATGTTTAGTAAAGGCTGCATATAATTAAGAAAATAATGGAATATATTATTCTTGATAAAAAAAATAGTTTCATATACAATTTTTGCCGATCCTTGCATTAAAAATCCTATTAAGTTATATCATTGGTTGTGTCTTGACCGAATCACCAGTCGATTCCAAGAAAACGTGTGTACAGCTGATTGCTGTTTCCGGCTTAGTTTACGAGAAAATACACAAGGTAATCTTAATCCCTGGATATAAAACAATGCCTAGCAGAACAATAAATACTATTTAAACGGTAAATAAACATGTCTGGTGATTTTTTATCTCAAATTTCGAATTTGTACTGACGAAGTTTCTCATCACCCGTTCGTGTGCCGGACTTCGCTGAAAGGGTACGGTGTAATTTTTTTCTGCGCATAATATTCAAATTTCTTTTTTTCCAAAATATTGAACCCGCTAGAGGGGGGTGCGCATTATACATGGGTGCGCACTGTACTCAAGAAAATACGGTAATTGAGAAATTAAATGTAATTTCACCTGATATAGTCGTTTGTCATTTATGTACAGTATTCACGAAACTATTCAGATAAAAAATCATCAAATATTCCGCCATTGTGAATGTCAGGTGTGTGCTACGTAGTAGGTTGTACTAGGTTCACAGGTGTGATACGTAATAGATTGGATGGCAGACTGATATTAAACAAACATCGTGCGATTATAACGGGGAAATTAGGAATTTTTGCTGCCATATCGTAAAAATGTCAAATCCCACGTGGACCTCACGTGGGCTGTGAGTTGATAATACCGGGAAAAACGAAAACTATGATCATTGAAAAAATCGAAACAGACTGGAATACGTAGTTACCAAATAGACATAAAATTTGAAATTTTATGAAATAGAATAGGAAGAATTGTTTTTAAGAATTAAAGTATTATGAAACCTATTTTAATCATGATACTTCATACTATTTCGAAAATATACATATTTTCTAAAATCCTGACTCCGCATTTAGATGCCAGTGACTACATTTGTAATTACCCACTAACAACATGTAATGGCGTCGTCGTTCGATTCAAAGCAGAACTTTTTACTTTTTGAAACATTTGATTATTATTTGCGACTAAACATAAAGCGAAGGGGAGAAAACTGTATGTTAGGGTGAATCTGTTTATATCTAGCGATAATTACAAGGACAGCAAAACAAAGAAGTCAAATGTGTTGCAGTAAAAACTTTTATTTGTCGAAAAAATACATGTCATTATCGATAGCATTATATTCATATCGATTATCGTCACAACCTTCTTCCATCGATGATAATTACGATTATCAATCTAAATCACCAGCCCTAGCATTAAGGTTCTTTTCAGAGATTCTGGCTTAATTAATGCACAAATATACAATAATCTTAATACGTGCATAACAAATTGATGCTATATTACATATCCTTATTGAAATGGCAACACATATTGTATTGAGCCATGAGTCCTTGTACAGTATTTCTACACAGCAGCACCCTTAAAACAAAAAATCAGTGAATCGCTGAAGCCCTCCTGAAATGAGGATGTTTTATCATGTTTATGGGCCACTGTAATTCATTATTAATACATGTCACATGAATGTTCAATGTTCAAAATGAACACAAATCTGAGAGTAGTAATATTCATGAAAAACTAGCCTTGGTAGAAAGTAACTGTAGCAGATCATTGTTGCAGACATAATTGATAATTCCTAACCCTGGTGTTTCTCTTTTCACAGAGCCCTGCTCAGTCACCATCACAGTTGAACAATGTGAAGAAACCTCCTCGCATGCAGCACCAGGACTGTGACAGGCGCAATGCAGTGCTTGCACCCCGGTCTGCAGCGGCCACAGTTGCCGCTCCCCTGGACCCTGCCGTCCCGTCAACATCCCTGGCGCCACCTCAGCCATCATTCAGCTCATCACATCTGCCTTTCTCCAAGTTTACCCAGCAAAAATCCAGAATCCCAAATGGTATATATCACATTGTTTCAAGTTTTGGTCTAGTATATCGTAGTGGTAAGACCAGTCACATCAAAGCCCATTGCTGATAGGACCTGCTAAAGCAGCAAGACCCTATTCTCTTACAAATTAAGTTATAAAATTGGCCCAAAGTACCTGTTGAATGATAAACATTGACTTTAATTACAATGGCGGCTGATAGAGTACTTATGAAACCCACCTTGAAAATTCAACCAATAGCCGGGGCGGTCGGATAACCTAGTAGTTATAGCGTTCGTTCGTCACACCGAAGACCTGGGTTCGATTCCCGACATGGGTACAATGTGTAAAGCCCATTTCTGGTGTCCCCCCGCTGTGATATTGCTAAAAGCGACGAAAAACCTCACACTCACTCACTCACTCACTCACTCACTCACTCACTCACTCACTCACTCACTCACTCACTCACTCACTCACTCACTCAACCGATAGCCATTTTGTTATCCAATTGCCGTACTCGTTTCGAAACTATTGTTGCTGATTACGACTTTCATATGAAGACTTTTCTTTTGTATGTATTACTGTTTTCAAGCTTGAGTTTACAGTTCCTTAATATAACAGGGTATCTTGTCTGTCACTGTTAAAGTTACTAGTGGGTGAGTGAGTATGGTTTTATGCCGCTTTTAGCAATATTCCAGCAATATCACGGCAGGGCACACCAGAAATGGGTTTCACACATTGTACCCATGTCGGGAATCGAACCCGGGCCTTCAGCGTGACGAGCAGCTTTGACCACTAGGCTACCCAACCGCCCCTTAAAAGTTACTAGAAAGCCTCACTATGAAGACACAATAATTAGCAGCACCTGGTCATGTTTGGTTGCAGACATTGATACACTTACAAAAAGCAACTCTCTATGCTGTCGTGAATATGAATATCAATAATGAATTGAAAGAAATTGTAACATTACAAAAAATCAATAACAATATATCAGTCTTCTTAAATATCTGAGTAGCAACCTACTCAGTCGCACTTGAGGTTTAAAGCTAAGGTGTTGATTGTTTCAACTTTTGCTGTCATCCACCTGGCTCACTTGGAGAACAATACCGATTGAAGGGGTGTTTTCACATTTCTCAATTTCAAAAATATTCGGACTACTGGAACACCATCAGTCGTTCTTCTATTTTATTGCAATATTATGAAAAATAACTCCTATGCTATTTTTGGTACATGGTTTTGTCGAAAATTGTTTTGTCCATCCAGATGACACTATGTCTGAACGAAGTGATGTGTCTCGATCGACGAGCGGGTGTTCCTCCATGATCCCCCACCCAGACAAGCAGGCCTACCAGAGGGAAATACTGCAGCTGAATGATTCTGCTCTAGACATGTTGAAAACAGACTTTCAAACAGCTGAAGTTTTTCAGCCACAAAAAGGTGGTCGTGCTGCACAGAAAGATATTTCAGCACAGAAGCCTCAGCCTATAGGTATGTTGTACGAAAGGGAACTTTTACATGTGTAGTATAAGATAACAAGATGTTGAGATGGTTAATGAGTTCATTCATCATGCCAAAGAGGTGCGTCCAATATGATTGTTTTTAAGTAGCCTATGCTGTTGTCAGTACCCAATGCTGCTGTTGTCAGTTCCCAATACTATTGTTGTCAGTACCCAATGCTGTTGCTGTCAGTACCCAATGCTGTTGCTGTCAGTACCCAATGCTGTTGCTGTCAGTACCCAATGCTGTTGCTGTCTGTACCCAATGCTGTTGTTGTCTGTACCCAATGCTGTTGTTGTCTGTACCCAAAGCTGTTGTCAGCACCCAATGCTGTTGTCTGTACCCAATGCTGTTGTTGTCAGTACCCAATGCTGTTGTCAGTACCCAATGCTGTTGTTGTTAGTATCTAAGTGAAGTCATCTTCCCGGGGCAAGGGAGTTAACTTGTGGAATCTGGTGAGGTAAAATCTGATTGGTCATCTGAGGGACATAACTCATAATAGCCACTGGTGGCGCAATGACTGAGCCGAAAAGATCCAGCCCAGTTCAGCAAGGGTGGAAACGACTTTTGCAGCCAGTTAACACCCTTGCCTCAGGAAGATGAAGTGAAGTCTTTTATAGGCATTTCCAAGTTGAAAGAACATACATACATGACACTTTATTCTGGTATGGGAAACAACTTCTTTGTTCTTTGTATTCCGGGCTACTTCTTGCCAGTATTCACCTGATGAAGGGGCAGGAAGTAGCATAGTCCTGCACCATGACAGTGGAATATATTTATTTTATGGAAAAAAATAATCTAGAAATTTATACAAAAGCAAGTCTAGCCAGCCCCAGCTAAATCAGCATAGGGAATTTTATTTTATTTTTAGAGTCAAGAAGGATATTGTGTAATATAAGATTTCAGAGACTAAATGTTAGTCTAGAAGTAGCACTGAAACATTGTTTACAAAGAATAAGGGAGTTGTTACCCTAACAAAAAAAATATTAATTTTTAGAAGTGTCATGAGTTACCATGTATAACCCAGATGATTGTGAGTCTTTTGTCCGGATGACAAGGATAAATGTTCCTGGTATCAAACACCGGTTTGACAACTGACTGTGATGTAAAAGAACATTAGTCACTCACTCACTCACTCAGTTGTTATTCCCTTACAGCCCCTAAGATGTTTGACACATTTGTAAATCCACCAAAGACATGGACTGCAGAGGCGTCGCGTCAAGGGCGTCCCCTGGCCCCAGCTGTGCGGGAGAAACCCGGCTTCAACTCTTCACTGTTCGGGTCCCCTGTTCTGGTATGTAGGAGAGAGTTCTAGTGAAGATGGCAACCTACTTGATGCAGTTAAACATTTGACACACAAGATAAACAACTTCAGTAAACTACAGTTACAACAAACTTAAAGGTATCACCAATTTTAGTCATAACCGGAGTTCATTATACACATATACATGCCCGGGACCAAAAAACAGTATGTTATATCCGTCAGTTTAATATGAGCATGTTTGTTATAAAAGTAGTTGACTGTATGTCATTCTAATCTGTATTATTTGTTCTTTACAAATAACCCTTGATATGAATATGTATGTTGATGTATTTAAACAACAGTTCCATGGAATTTTACAGAACCAGTCCTCGTCCATATTGGGTGAAAGTTTTGGGGAGTCATCCTTCTATTCTGGCAGGACGACGTATGGAGGTGCATCTGCTTACAGAAAACTTAACTCTACAGCTCCCTACCAGGTACAGTGGGCTCACTGCCTTTTCTTAGCCCTAAGGCCTTTTGTTAACCCCCAACCTAAAAGGCTGGGGGTATATGGTTATACCAAGGAATTCTGTCCGTTCATCCATCCATCCTTCCTAGAATTGTTTTATGTGCAACCTATAACTTAAAAACAAATGCATAGATTCGTTTCAAACTTGTTGACGACTTTTTATACCAATAGGAGAGGTGCAGTGCAAAGTTTGATTTCAATATTTGGATTTTCAGAAAAAGACACAGCTGTTTTTCATTTTTTTACTTAGAATCTTTTTACTTAACCTATTGTGTAACCCATTTTTTAACTTAAAAACTACTGCATGGAATCTTTTCTAATTAAGAGGACAGCCTCCATACTAATTGAAGAGGTGCAGTGCAAAGTTTGATTTTGATATGTGGATCATTTTAGAAAATATGAATTTTTACATGTTTTGAACTCAGAATGTTTGTTTTACTTCAACATTTGTGTGACCTGTAACTTGAGAACAACTTCATGGATACTTTACAAATTTAAGGAACACTTTCTTTACTTAAAGGAGAGGTGCAGCAAAAAGTTTTATTTCAAAAAGTGGATTTTCTGGGAAAATCTTGCTTTTTTCATGTTTCGAACTTAGGAATATGTTTGAGTTGAAGTCGGGGGTATTAGTGAACCCTGCTCACTTTTTGCCTTGTTTTGTTATTAGTTCAATGTAGGTGGTCACAAACAATACCAAAACATTTCTACTTCCAGATTAGCACAGCTACCAATGACCAAAAACAAAGTTTTAACATGGCAAGATACCGAGAAATAATTGACTATTTTAATTTTTTTTCGTCAAGATGAATATTGTGTGGATTATTGTGCATAACTTACAAACAGTGATGATAAGGTCTTGTGTGTTTTTTTTTGTCCATTTCAGGTAAATGTAAAACTGCCAAAATTGTTTTTTGAATGCATAATGTAAAACATTCAAAATTCAGTGGTTCCTAGATCATGTAGATTCAAATAGTAGTCTGTAGCAGCACTCTTCAAGTAGAATCCCAATTTTCCCCTCATTTAGAGCTGTGCTACTGTCCTCCTGTACACCAGTCAAACGTTGGCCAACTGTTAACTTTGCTGGTCATGAGAGGTCACCAAAAGGATCAGGTGGTCTGACTCAGTGACTGGGTTGATGGCATGTCATCGTACCAAGATGGCGTGGATGGTTGTTCCCAGGATCAATCACTGGATTGGGGGCAGTTGGGTAGCCTAGTGGTTAAAGCGTTAGCTCATCACGCCGAAGACCCGGGTTTGATTCCCAACATGGGTACAATGTGTTAAGCCTATTACTGGTGTCCCCTGCCGTGATATTGCTGGAATATTGCTAAAAGCGGCGTTAAACCATACTCACTCAATCACTGGATTGCTTTGGTGCAGATTATTTACAGGCTGTCATCATTTGGTTGAAATTTTGCTGTGAGCAGATAAAACAACAAACTGGTGGCTAGCAGGGATAAGTGAGCCCTGATTTCGTCACTATGTGGCTTAAATAATGCTGATGCAAGTTTATGTTTCATAATGCTCACTTCTTTGAGTCGACACATGAAGATGAGGGGTAGAATTGGTCTTCAGCAACCCATGCTTGTTGTAACAGGCAACTAACGGGATCAGGTGGTCAGGCTCGCTGACTTGGTTGATGCATGTCATCATATCTCAATTGCGTAGATTGATGCTCATGATGTCAATCACTGGATTGTCTGGTCCAGACTCAATTATTCACTAGCTGGAATATTGCTGAGTGCAGTGTTAAACAACAAACTAACTTCTTTGAGTCACTTGAGTTCATGCAGAAAATTTATTTTCATACAACACATGACACAGCATTATCTTTACACAATTTCAGACTGCACTGCCAATTCGTAAACAACTGAAACCGAAGCCTCTCAACAGCAGTTTTAATGCAGTGACCAGTTCCACGGCCAGACGGATCCTGGAGACACTGGAGCGGATGTCTACACCCCTCACAGTGAGTTACACTTGGTTGTATTCTCATACTCATGACAGTGGGAAACATCATTTCCATGCAGATTACAAGGGTCGTCAGATAGCATGAAAACATTGCCATGTGTGTCATATGAAAACACATTGCCTGGGATATCATTAAAAATATTGCCTGGGGTGTCATGAAAACACATTGCTTGGGGTATCATTAAAAATATTCTCTGGGGGTATCTTATGACAACATTTTGCCTGGGATATGTTATCTAAAAAATATCTTTGGATATTGTATGAACACATTGCCTGGGATATCCAGCAATAGAAGTATTTTTTGTCCAGTAGTCCTTATGATGATAACATAGAGCTAAACCCTTTAAAATGGCAAATTACTACTAGTCCTTTTTATAACTATTAGGCAGTTTGGCAAGGACTACAGGACAAGTGCCCAATTTTAATGCTGGATATCTTGTGAAAACATTGCCTGGGATGTCATATGAAAACATTGCCAGGGATCTCATATGAAAACATTGCCAGGGATATCATATGAAAACATTGCCTGGGATGTCATATGTAAACATTGCCAGGGATATCATATGAAAACATTGCCTGGGATGTCATATGAAAACATTGCCAGGGATCTCATATGAAAACATTGCCTGGGATGTCATTAATCGCATGATACATATAGCCATGAGTTTGTATTCTTTATTCAGATTTGCTAACAGTATAAAATGTTCTCTTTTCAGGATGCAAAAAAGATCCCTGCTAGTGAATCTTTCCTGACTGATTCTGTGTTGTCATTCACGGTGAGTTCCAGGCAGGTTTCCGTGGACATTGTCCTGCACGCATGGCTGCAGTATTTCATGCTGCCTTCAATCAGTGTGTGCACTTGACATATTCCCACAATTATAACTGTTGCACAGTGAAAAGATAAGAAAGGGCATGGTTGAGTAACAACTGAAAGTGAATCGCTTGCATGACATGTGACTCTTTGTATGGTAATGTAACGTGCTGTTACCAAGGATCTAAATGTGAAAACTGTCCGATGTGTATTGAAAATGAGTTGTTTACATTCAACACTAGTTGAAAACTTTTATTAATTGTACAACAGCATGAAGCACATGCTGCAGCAGGATTCTGTGAGGCAGGGTTCATTTGTGAGAACTGCCATAACTAAGAATACACTCAATTACAGTAAACTATGGTTATAACGAACTCAAAGGGACGCTTATTTTAGTTCGTTATAACTGTAGTTCGTTATATATACAGCAAATGGGCGGGACAAAAAACAAAACAATTTGCTATATCCGCCAGCTCGTTATAAGCGTGTTCGTTATAAACTTAGTGTATTAAGTTTATTTTGATATTTGATATGAGGTTCTAAGATCAGAATTTTTTTTGCATGCTTTCCCAACACTTGAAGTAAAAGGTGACTATGCTTGACGTAAAAGGCGACGAACAGGATCGGGTGGTCAGGCTCGCTGACTTGGTTGATGCATGCATCGATCCCAATTGCGTGGATCGATGCTCATGATATCAATCACTGGATTGTCTGGTCCAGACTCGATTATTTACAGACCGTCGTCATATAGCTGTAATATTGCTGAGTGTGGCGTTAAACAACAAACCAACCAACCCAACACTTGACAAAACTTGAGAAACTACATACTCATTCGAAACATGACTGCCAGTTAAGATTTGCTTAGGTATGTTGTAACAAGCCTGTATACTCTGTCTGTGGTTTCAGCCTGGCAGTTACAGAAGGCGAACCTCACGTCCACTCACTGGTGTTGGAGCAACCAGGAGGTCACTCGATGTAAGTACACTTTGATAGTAGGCTGCCACAGGGAGGTGTACCCTTCTTACTGCCACGAAGTGGAAGGGGGATATAGGAATGGCTGCCGGCTTTCTTTCACGTTTCATTTCCGGAGCAGAACTCTAAAACTATGAGAGATATTTTAACCAAACTTGGCACATAGATAAGTCTAGTAGTGAACTGGTGCCTTTTGATAGTTTGAGATTTTTAAACAATTTATGTTTCGAGTTTCCATGGCAACGACTTTTACTTAGACTGAAAATGGCGGTATTGGCGGGGGATATGAATATTTCATGCTTGTTGTATTGTAGAACTGTTGGATAACTGATGGACCATATTTCTAATATATTGTTGTCTGCTGCATCCTTCATCAGGGTTAGAAATTAATGTTTATTTTACTAGTCCACCAAACTGATCTGCTACAGTTACATTTACTTAATGGTAAAGGGGGTGGTGAGATAGTCTTGTGGTTAAAGCGTTCGCTCGTCACGTCGAAGACCTGGGTTCGATTCCCAACATGGGTACAATGTGTGAAGCCCATTTCTGGTGTCCCCCACCGTGATATTGCTGAAATATTCTAATGGTTGGTTAAAACCATACTCACTCACTCGCTCACTCACTATTATTTAAGCTAAACTTTTGCATAGCACAGCCTCACTCACTCACTTCATGGTAAAAGTGGTAGTTGAGGAAATGTCACTAATTTTTCCTAATAAGCAAAACAATTAAACCCTGATAGTGTTTATGTGAGCCTATCTGATTCTATCCTGATATTTTGTGAGTTTCCGTAAGTTTGATTCATGAAGTTCAATTATTAATCTTTGGCACAGTTTGCCTCGTGATCAAAGGTTCAACAACTTGTGCAGAGTTGTGTCCCTTGGCTATATGTATCTGTATCTGTTGATGGTGATGTGGATACAACATTGACCTAATTATGTTTCCTACAGTGCATGCTTTGTTGTACTTTGTTGTATATTTTACTCACCAGTCTTCTGCTTGTTGTCAGGTTCCGAAGGGCCCCCCTACAAGTCAGCTGAAGACTCCTTCCATCGCGTCTATATCCAAGAATCGCCAGAAGCTCCTATCCTCCACACCGACATCGTCACGGATACCGGAACCCAAGAGAAAGAACCGCGACCAGGACAGTGGTGAAGAAGACGAGGACAGCAGGTCAGTGACTTGTCTCAAGTTACCAGTGTCATGTTAGGTCAGCAATCTCATCAAAATCAGATCTTAATTCTCGCTCGGCCAAACAAAGATCTGAGGACATCCCATTAGGGTTCCGTCAGAACGACCTTTCATCCGACCAATCAGAACGTCGCTTACCAGATCATGAAAGTGACAGTCGGAATGTGACTTCCAATCATGCAGCCTCGAAAACTTTAAAACGGGTCATTTATAGTTACGGGCTTAACGACTGAATCTATACAATCTAGACCATTTCATTTCAGGTTTCAAATTTTTAAGTGAGAATTTGTCAACATATGTTTCGAAGCGTAGTCGCCAATTTGAAATAAGTGCTGTAATTCTGATTGGCTAATGTCAACTTCTTGTCAGTAATTCCATTGGTCGGTCAGAGTTCGCGAAAGGTCGGTCTGATGTGACCCGTAATGGGATGTCCTCAGATTTTAATGAGATTGGTTAGGTCAGGGACTTAGCTAGGAAGGTCCTTGTCATTAAAGATCCTTCCTCCTATTGGTTTGTGAAATACAAGTCACCTCTGCAAGGCCATTACATGAGTTATAACTGTATAACATGAAAAGGGGGATTTTTTTTTCCAATTTGAGAATTTTTTACTGACGTCTGCTGTAGACTTCAGGCCAAATACCTGCCTCTGAGCAGGCCTAGATAAATCCATGCAGTTAGTCTCGGTTTTTTTCGAAGTATTTTGAATGTTATTTAGAGGTTACTAATTAACAATTCAAGCAGACATAATTCCATATTCATTGGTAAACCAAGTTTGGGGTTTCTTATGCCAGGTTTAGTCTGGGATCATTTGCAGGTTGCTGTGATGTAGGTGTTAATTGACATCTATTGTTGTCATCATATTTAATTGGCTACCAGTTTTCCAAGAGATGATTATACTACTTGAAATTTATGTTTCAAATGTTTTAAAATGAAAAGACCAGTGAAGATAGAATAGGTCTTCAGCCAACCCATGCTTGCAGTAAGAGGCCACTATGCTTGTCTTAAGAGGCGACAAATTGGATCGGGTGGTCAGGCTCGCTGACTTGGTTGATGCATGTCATTGTATCTCAATTGCGTGGAACGACGCTCCTGATTTCAATCACTGGATTGTCAGGTCCAGACTCCATTATTTACAGATCGCCGTCATACAGCTGGAATATTGCTGAGCGCGGTGTTAAAGAACAAACAGACAAATCAAATGAAACAGGACCAAGTAGATGGTGTAGATATTATACATCTGAACTTGATGAGTAAAATCCGAAATGTCCTTCTATTTACATGTACACATGACAAGGGAAGAAGTTGTGTGTGGTGTCATGGAGGGATCAAGGTTTCCATAAGTGGAGTAGTGTATTACTGAATGTTGGTTTCAATGATCACTGCCTTTTTTCCAGTCATGAAGATGAGCCAGTTGTGATAGATGACCGACCTGGAGGCGGAGGGGGGAAAGGGGGCAAGATGATGCGGGAAAAGAGTTATCGTTCCTCCGCGAGACGGAGAGCAGGAGAAGACGAGGAGGAAGAGGTAAGTACATCATGGCTTCAACCTTCTCAGTTGTGTGCTATGTGGTGGAATATACTAGGAACAAGTAAACAAATCTTGCCAGTCAATGCAAGTACCGTATTTGACGTAATTAGCGCCCCGCTCTAATAAGCCCCCACGGAGATATTTGCTAATATATTGGCTAGTAAACAATCCCAATTAACAAACCTTCCGCTTGATCAATATACACAAGACTTATTTATTCGCATATAATACGCACTCGTGTGTTATATGCACCCTTAGTTATGGGCAATTAAATTCTGGAAAAATATATCTGTTGTACATAAACATTTCAGGCTGTCAGCATAAACCACGAAATTTACAATCTTTCAACTGTTTTTTTTTTCACTGATATTATATTCCAATAAGAACCCCATATTTCTAATTTTGAGAGCGCCCTGGGCGCTTATTATGTTGAATATGGTAATATTAATTTATATGCTTTGTTTCCTGTCACTGTATGAACCAATAGAGCGAGCACATCAGTTACCTCCCTTCTCATGTAATACCTGTTACATTCTTGATAGGTTCCATTGAGGTCTCATTTGAAGTTAGATATATATTTTTCAAAATTTGTTCTAGCTCTGGGCCATGTTCCACAAAGCCATCGTAGCACTAAGATGTTCAATACCCCCCTACTTTAACTTAGACTTACGACTGTCTTAGTGCTACGATTGCTTTGTGGAACAGGGCCCATGAATATATAGTCATTTTATCCAGTATATGATGATATTGTCTGACACCTCGTATGAGAGAAAGTGATTTCATTGCACAAAATTCTGACACTGGATGAATGACATGATCTTGCCCCATGAACATTGAACATGTGACTGAGGGCAAGTTGAAATGGCTTTAACTATATTCTTTTTCAACCATATTCAACGTCACATGAGCCTCTTAAAACAATCTCAACATCTTTGATGTTGACGAGACCAGCATTTCCATTTATATGTTAAGAGAATCTGGTGACAGAACCCTGCGATGACGCAAATGATGCTGTATTATGTATTGTATGCCATACTTACAGACCCTTGTGAATTCATACATGGTTGGGGGGCACGGGTGGCCCAGTCGTCTAAAGGCGCCGCAATTCGCTGTGCAGAGTGGTGTCCCTTGGGCACGCCAGAAACCTATGATTGTGGGTTCGCCCAGATTATGTTTCTAGGTTTGTCAACACCATTCCTGTGCTCGTGGTTTTCACCGAAGTGGTAAACGTCCGAGACCTGCATCACTTCGGGCTTTCCTTCCACATTAAGCTGACTCGCCACAATATAACTGGAATACTGTTAAAAGCGGCGTAAAACCCACCTCACTCACTCACTCACTCATACATGGTTGTTGAATAAGGCCATGATCATAGATTTTTCTAAATTGTGCATTTATGCAATCGGTACATTTATCTAATACCCACGAAGACCAGGGTTAGAATAGGTATCAGCAACCCAGTAAGAGGCGACAAACGAGATCAGGAGGTCAGGCCTGCTGACTTGGTTGATGTATGTCATCGTATCCCAATTGCGTAGATCGATGCTCATGATGTCTTCACTGGATTGTCTAGTCCAGACTCGATTATTTACAGACCGCCGTCATACAGCTGGAATATTGCTGAGTGAGGACTAAACAGTTCCCTAAGTTTTAAGAATAATTGAGTATTGAGGATGATGTGAATAAGTAGACTGGAGCCTGGAATACATTTCCATCAACAAAAACATCAATTGGGATGTTTAATAAAATACAGCTAAAAATAGGAAGTTTTGACAGATGTCTTGAGTTATACTTTGACCAAAATTGACAGTTTAAACTGTTTGTATATAAAAAATTAAACATATTAGTTTATTCTTGCTGGAATCAGCTCTTTTGAATTTTGTCCAGTAGATGATGATATTGTCTGACACCTCGTATGAGATAAAGTGATTTCATTGCACAAAATTCTGATACTGGATTAATAAATCATATTAATTTGGGGAATTTGGTTATGTGAGGTCACATGTGTCAGATGTTGGTTGTGTGGTTGGTATGAGGCAGGCATATGTTACATGCATTCTGTGCAATATTTGGTCAGGGAAGTTCTCAGAGGCAACCTAGAGTTCATTTTCGGGCAGACGGGAAGCCTAGTGGTTAAAGCGTTAGTCTGTTTCACCGAAGACCCTTGTTCGATTCCCAACATGGGTACAATGTATGAAGTCCTTTTCTGGTGTTCCCTGCTGTGATAGTTCTGGAATATTGCTAAGAGTGGCGTAAAACCTCACTCACTCACTCACTCACTCACTCACTCACTCACTCACTCACTCACTCACTCACTCACTCACTCACTCACTCACTCACTCAAGGTATTTAAGAGACATGGAGGCCAATTAGGCCTGAGTGTAATTAGGTTGGTTGGTTTGATGTTTAACGCCTCACTCAGCAATATTCCAGCTATATGACGACGGGCTGTAAATAATCGAGTCTGGACCAGACAATCCAGTGATTGACATCATGAACATCGATCCAAGCAAATTGGGATCGATGACATGTATCAACCAAGTCAGCGAGTGTAATGAGGACCAAAGCAGGATCAGTAATCACTGTCCTCATCGTGCGTGCCCAGCTTCTTCCCATCCTGTGTATGATGATTCTGTCTGACACCTCGTATGAGATATACTGATTTTATTGCACAAACTTCTGACACTGGATGAATGAAGCAAAATTAATAAGTCCTTTGAGCATGTTGAGCGTCAAGCTAATATATAAATAAAATTAATTTTCCAGGCAACAATTTTTGTAATCTTGTATTTGCCAGCAGCCTAATATTTTATTGGGAATAAGTAACACTTTGTAAAGATTTCATTCTTCTCTGTCTCTGATGTGCTTGAGAGGCACACTGTTCATTTAAACCTTTAGCTGAGTGTTTCAAGAATGAGTTTGGGGCATGGGAATTTACTGTGAAGAGTTATGACCTTTAGACTTGACAGTCAACTATGACTGGTTCAAAGTCAGCACCTTGCCAGTGGGTTTCATCTAAGACTTGCATAAATTCAGGCCTTATACCATTACAGCCGTGAAATAACTGAAGTCCTGTTCAAAACGGCACTCATCTAGAATCACTCTATGATAGGACGGGGCACGGGTGGCCCAGTCATCCAAGGCGCCGCGATTCGCTGTGCAGAGTTTTGTCCCTTGGGCACGCCAGAAACCTATGATTGTGGGTTTGTTCCTTGTTCGCCCCAATTATGTTTCTATGTTTGTCAGCACCATACCCGTGCTCGTGGGTTTCACCGAAGTGGTAAACGTCTGAGACCTGCATCACTTCGGGCTTTCCTCCCACATTAAGCTGACACGCCGCGATATAACTGGAATACTGTTAAAAGCGGCGTTAAACCCAACTCACTCACTCACTCACTCACTATGATAGGACACAAAGGATTTGTCTTGTTTATTGTCAGGTAGTTGATGTCAGGGCACCATGGTAGCTTGCACGCACACTACACCTAAAATATTTGTGAGACAACTTAAATTACGTATGAAGTAAATTTAGGCATAATTTGAGTTCTTTACAAGTATTTCTGGAACATATGATTCTGTCTTAGTTCAACCCATTTTGTTATACATCCAGTGTATGATGATATTGTCTGACACCTCGTATGAAACAGTGATTTCATTGCACAAAATTCTGACACTGGATGTTTAACATACTTGTGAATCTTGAGAGGGCAGCCAAGTGGAGTTTTGAAGACACTGGTTGGGTCCTCATTTGCATTTTCACACAAGATCAACACTCACGTGTAAACAGGCTCATTTATACGCCAATCTCATTAAAACCAAATCTTAGTTCTTGCTACCGCTGAACAAAGATCGGAGGACATCCTATTAGGGGTCACATCAGTACGACCTTTCATCCGACCAATCAGAGCGTCGCTTACCAGATCATGAAAGTGACAGTCAGAATGTGATTTCTAATAATGCAAGCTCGAAAACTTTAACACGGGGCATTCCGAACGATAGTAACAGGATTAACGACTGAATCCATACAATCTAGACCATCTATTAGCCATTCCAGCATGTTCTTTTGTTCAGGTTTAAATTTTTTAATCAAGAATTAGTCAAAATATGTTTTGTAAAGCACAAGAAAGCTGCCTTCTGATTGGCCAATGTCGACTTCTTGTCAGTCATTCCATTGGTTGGTCCACTGATTTTAATAAGATTGATTTATATGCATGATAAGGCTAAATCAATACTGCCACAGTTCTTGTCTAATTGCTATACCACCATGATAAGTTTAGACCAGTGTTGGTCACACCTTTCCACTTACAAGGAAATTCGACCGCCTCCCTGGTCTAGAGGTTGAGCATCTGCCTGGAGTGCGGAAGGTCCGGGTTCGATCCCCCGCCGCATCATACCAAAAGACGTTAAAAGATGGTACTTGTTGTTACCCTGTCTGGCGCTCGGCATTAAGGGGCTAAAACAAGGACTGGTCGGCAAGGAGTCTGTATACTGTGTCTGAGTGGGGTATTCACGTTAAACTGCGGCATGGTATCTCAGTGGGTTTGCACTATAAATCGGCATCAGTCTGGACTAGTACAATCAGCCACACAAACATACACACGTACATGCACGTCACTATATAAGTGCAATAATCTTGGACGCAATGTTAAACCCAATTTCACCTCACCTCACCTCACCTCACCTCACCTCACCTCACCTCACCTCACCTACAAGGAAATTCTGCTGAGTATTCTGAATGTAACTTGTATGACTATCAGCTATCCCTATCGACAGTTGAGTAGTATAGGATGCAGTGTTTGCATTGGTTTCCAACATAATGGGGTCCCCTTGGATGTGTTAGCCTCAAAAACCACAGGCACTCAGCTGTCTAAGGGGGTTTGGGTGCATGCCACCACATAGAATTTTTTCAAATGTAGGCCTAAAATAGTGTATTTTAAGCCATTCCAAGCACAAATTAAGTGTCTGTTTTCATGTGAAACTCGAAACAAAGCAACGATAAGTTATGAGTAAAATGAGGGGCGGTCGGGTAGCCTAGTGGTTTAAGAGTTCGCTGGTCACGCCGAAGACCCGGGTTTGAATCCTGACATGGGTATAATGTGTGAAGCCCATTTCTGGTGTCCTCGCCGTGATATTGCTGGAATATTGCTAAAAGCGGCGTAAAACCAAACTCTCTCACTCACTATGAGTAAAATGAAAGGGGACACATGTAGGTTTCCTTTTTTCGTCCAATTTTTTTCAGTGCATGTTTTTGTATATAGGATGCTGTAAACGCAAACACTAGGGATGTAACAGTAGATGAGGATCACCTGAAAGTGGTGTAATCCAAGTATATGCTTGTTGCAGGTGGAGCCTCCTCCTCCCCTCAAGACAGACTTCACTCTGCCTGTGATGAGTATGCCTGCATTCAACTTCAAGCCTACACCAGGCATGTCGAAGAAAGGGAAAACTGTGTCCCTACCTAGCGAGGACAAGGCTGCCAGCCTTAAGTTCACATTCTCAACCCCGATACAGAAGAGTGGGCCTTCCGCAGTGACGAGTTCTGAAAGGGCAGAGGTAGGGTCGTGCACAGCTTGTGGAGGGTGTTTGTTGTAAAAACATGATTGATGATTGGATTATTTGCTTATTGTGATACTATTGCGATAGTGGCCCTACTATTGCGATAGTTTTCACTTGCAATTATAGCAGGCTTTATCAGCATATATTTCAGCATTTTGACTGACACCATCAAAATAATTATAACTTTCTGATACTATTTGTAAAGAAAACAAGAAATGAAAAGAAAACAAGTTCAAATTGACCTCTCAAAAACATTTTAATACAAAATTTCACCAGATGTATCAATATGAGAGCTTTTAATAGTCACAAATGATTACCACCACTGATTACTACCACTGACTGAAGACCGGGATCCCCCTTTTTCACGTGGACGAATATCTGGGTGCCGTCTTGTCAAGTGGTCGGTCAGATTAGTAGTATTTCCTGAATACTTTAGAATTATCCGACAGATTCTACAACTAACTTTTTGCTTGTCTATCTCGTTCGGCGTTTTGACAAAGCCAAAATGGTCCCATACCCACGATTTGCCTGCCTTATTGGCGACAATATCAAACTGACATATGGCGTCCACCATCTTGTCAATGTTGCCTAGCGATGAGTAGCTAAGGGACATAACTCTAAATCAAGCAGACAAAGTAGTGCAATCCAAACGAAAGCACGACAGAGGTTAGATGATCATAGGAATTGTTTCTATGTTTTTTAAGAAAGTAAATGTACCAAACAAATTAACTATTGAAACTATCAATAGTTAGACAAACTATCGCCAATAGTTTGATTGTTTCAAGTTGCAATCGATAGTGTACTATCGTGAGACAAGCAATCGCAATCAATCGATAGTTCGATGTATCGTTACCCCACTACTGTCCATGCATGTCAGCATTCATATATTTCACTCCTTATAAGGCCTAAGTGTTTTGATATGTAAAGGCAAGTTAACTTTGCAGGAATGAATGCTTTAATTAATATAATAATTTTTTTTATCAATATATCCATTAAAGGCTGTCATTTCTGTTTGTATGTAAAGAATCCATATGATGTTGCAAGGCTGTTAGACTTGTGAGATATGATCATGTGTTTTTGAATAATGTTACCACCAACTCCTTGTCCTTGTCTCACAGGGCTTCACCTTTAGTTCCCCCCTCAAGGTCACTGACAAAGAGTCCTTGCCTAAGTCATCTACATTCACAGCCATTGGTGATAGTCAACCAGCTTTTAAACCATTAATGAATTCCTCGGTTACTGCACCTGTCTGCAAGCTGGGAAATGGAGGTAAGATCAGAAACTCAGGCATGTGATCCAACAGGAATATTGAAACTTTCCTCTCACATAACAGTGGGTGATTGTTTGTTTGTTTGTAGGATTCAAGGTATATGACGCCAATCTGTTAATAATCGAGTCTGGATCAGACAATCCAGTGATTGGTATCATGAGCATTGATCCACACAATTAGGATACGATGACATGCATCAACCAAGTCAGCGAGCCTGACCACCCGAGCCAACCAGTTGTAACCTGGGTCGACACAGGTTTTACAGTGTGTGAAGGCTATGCTAGGAGTCTTTGCTATTATGCTGCTGCTTATGTGTGGCTTACACAATCATTCATAGACAAAAGTCCTGAGATACTGTGACAATGCTTTGATAGGATCATATCACAGTGATCACTAGGATGTCCTTGTAACCTGACTTGAGTGATGCTCATGCTATCTTCCACTAGTGTGGCTGCCTTAGACTCAACTATTCACAGGCCTCCATGAAATAACTGAACATTGCTGACTGCAGCACAAAACAGCACTACTCTTTCTAGGGTTTTAGTTCAGATCATTTTCTGGACTCATCGTTATCAAACCTGTCCAGATGTTTTTTAAATTTGGTTATGATGTTTGTGATATTTTAGATCCCTGCAGTCTTATTCCAGTACATGATGATACTCTCTGACACCTCATATGAGAGGAATGATTTCACTGCAAATGCACAATCTGATGCTGGAATCACTGTAGCTAGCCAGATGTATAAACTACTTAACATCTGCTAAGGTCCACCAGACCTGTGAAAATCCGGAGTAGAATAGGTCTTCAGCAACCCATTCTTGCCGTAAAAGGCCACTATGCTTGTCATAAGAGGCGACGAACAGGATCGGGTGGTCAGGCTCGCTGACTTGGTTGATGCATGCCATCGTATCCCAATTATCAATTATATCAATCACTAGAGTGTCTAAAGTGCCTGGTCCAGACTCGATTATTTACAGACCTTGGTCATATAGCTGGAATCTTGCTGAGTGCGGCGTTAAACAACAAAACAAAAGAAACATTTCCTGGACTGATCCTTAACAAACCTGTCTCTCAGATGATTTTTAAATTTGCTGATGATGTTTGTGATATTTAAGATCCCTGCATGTGCATGTCCAGTATATGATGATACACTCTGACACCTCAAGGGCGGTCGGGTAGCCTAGTGGTTAAAGGGTTCGCTCGTCACGCCGAAGACCCAGGTTTGATTCCCGACCTGGGTACAATGTGTGAAGCCCATTCCTGGTGTACCCTGCCGTGATATTGCTGGAATATTGCTGAAAGCGGCGGAAAACCATACTTATTCACTCACTCACGCTTGACACTTCATATGAGAGGAATGATTTCATTGCAAATGCACGATCTGATGCTGATCATTTCTGGACTCATCGTTATCAAACCTGTCCAGATGGTTTTTAAAAATTTGGTTCTGGTGTTATTCAAGTACATGATGATACTCTCTGACACCTCATATGAGAGGAATGATTTCACTGCAAATGCACAATCTGATGCTGGAATCACTGTAGCTAGTCTGATGTATATACTACCCAACATTTGCTAAGGACCACACCTTTAAAGATGACTATTTTGGTTTGAGCAAATGTTCAGTATGCACGTATGTTGTACATGTACTACATGCAAGTCAATATTGCAGGTATTGGGATGAACATGAAGACAGCAATGAGCAGTGGACAGGCTTTTAAGCCTGCTGCAGGTCTGAAGAAGGGGAGTGTGATGGACGTGTTGGGCGGAGGTGCCTTCAAGCCCTCCAGTGACCTGAAACAAGGGAGTGTGATGGATGTTCTTGGGAAAGATAGTACCAAGTCTGCTGGAGAAGCAAGCCAGTTGAAGTCTGGCAGTGTTATGGACATTCTAGGGAAAACTTCCAATGATACAAGTTCACCGTCAGGGTTTAAGCCTGCATTGAACCTGAAGCAAGGGAGTGTCATGGACATCCTAGGCAAGAGTAAGTTGTTATGACATTTGAAAACCACCATCTTGATTTAATCATTTTCAGAGTTGTGGCCCTTTGGTGTGTTTTTTTTGTATGTTTTCTTTGTATGTTTTCTTTTGCTGAAAAGAGGTTAGGGTTCATTTCAAGAGCATAACTTAAAACCGTTCCCAATGTCTTAGAGTAACCTTGTATACACATTAGGCAGATGCTGTATTGGCGCCTCTGATATTCCATAATGATAATTATCTTTTGCTTTTCCAAGGCAACAAGTTCAAATTAGGATCTGGGTTATTTAATGGCAGCAAACCATTCCTTTTATCCATGAAAGTTCGCAAATGTATTAGGCAGGGTTTTACACAACACAAAAATGTACGTCCAGTATGCACAAATTTAAAGAATGGACGCAAAAAAAAATATACTGCATCTCAATGGACGCAGAAAAGAAATATACTGCATCTCAATGCAAGCACAATAATATTCATTTTACCTACAGCGCAGCAAGAGCAGTTATGGGTGTCCATTGTTTCACCCATCTATCATCATGTCCAAATGATCATTGATTCATTTCAGGCTCTGAAGTAATTATCTAAACATACAGTACACTACACCATTTCATTTTTTCATAGGTGTCTATGTTATAATCAGCGACTTTGTTATAATAGGCGTCTGTCTTATATAATAGGGGGCACGGGTGGCCCAGTCGTCTAAGGCGCTGAGATTCGCTGTGCAGAGTTGCGTCCCTTGGGCACGCCAGAAACCTATGATTATGGGTTCGAATCCCGGTTCGCCCTGATTATGTTTCTAGGTTTGTCAGCTCGTGGGTTTCATTGAAAGTGGGGGCAGTCGGGTGGCCTAGTGGTTAAAGGGTTCGCTCGTCACGCTGAAGACCCGGGTTCGATTCCCGACATGGGTTCAAACACTCTCACTCACTCACTCACTCACTCACTCACTCACTCACTCACTCACTCACTCACTCACTCACTCACTCACTCACTCACTCACTCACTCACTCACTCATTGAAAGTGGCAAACGTCTGAGACCTGCATCACTTCGGGCTTTCCTCCCACATTAAGCTGAAGCGCCGCGATATAACTGGAATACTGTTAAAAGCGGCGTTAAACCCACCTCACTCACTCTTATATAATAGGCTGAGTGCATTCAGGATGTGTCCCAGCTGGTCCCCCACAGTATCGGTGGTATCACAACCATGGCTCCTTTGTTGCAGAGGGAGGTGAGACTCCGCCTTCAAGTAGTCCTATGACCAAGTTCTGTAAAAAGCCAGGGGAATGGGATTGCGACACCTGTCTTGTACAGAATAAACCTGAGGCAACTAAATGTGTTGCCTGTGGGACGTCCAAGCCAGGGTCGGGTCCGAAACCCCCTCCTCCGTCAGGTAGGAATGTCAGGTTGCATCTGTGGAGGGCCTCTGCCCTGACTCGCATTTAGTTATGGTTAACGTATCATGGTTATAGAAACAGGCTCCATCCGCCCGTCACGTTTCGTTTCTGGAACATAACTCAGAAACCGTTCCATATTTTTTCATGAAACTTTGTAGGTCTGTCAAGTACATGCTGAACTGGTGCCTTTTGCTACTTAGAAATTTTAATTTTTTACGTTTCCATGGCAACAAGATGGACTTAGGTTCCAAACTCTTCTCTTTTTTTTTTACAATTTCCATGACAAGTTCCACCTCGGTTAAAAAAGGTTAGGGTTTGTTTAGATTTAATTATGTCATAAATTCTGCAACAGGGGCGGGTGATATAGCCACGTCATTGGCAAACTCTTATTATTACTTCTGCTGATAAGCAGCATAAGACACTAACAGTTTTAGTCCTTTAGTCCTTATTATGATAGCAATAAGCAAAACCCTTAAAAAGGCCAATTTCTACTAGTCCTTATGATACCTTAACTATTGGGCACGAAGGACTTTAGGACTACTGCCTATTTCTAATGCTGATAAGATGTATCAAATGTAACAAAATGGCCTTTTTGTATTCTGATGTGTCAAAGTCGTTCTTTTTTCAAAATTTGTAGAACAAATAAATTGTTTTGTGACCTCATTGGCCACTCAGATATCAAATAAGATCCAAATGCAGAAGTTGTCATTCTTTGTCAATGTCCGAAGGCTCATATCCTTGTAGCAGAACTAACACAATGTCCACATGCATGACGTTATCTCAACTGTTTCTGCTAAAGGGACTGGATCTCTGAGTTCCGGTCAGCCAAGTCTGTCCTCCATGTTCAAGTCGTCCGCAGGAAGTTGGGACTGTGACATGTGCATGATTCAGAACAAGCCAGAAGACACCAAATGTGTGGCCTGTAAAACTCCCAAACCTGGAGCCAAGACATCAGGTAATTCCTTATTAAACCGAGTCAGTATTTAATGTAATATTACTTGCCATAGGATCTAGCTGTCGTGGGGAGCTCCCTGTCAGAACCCATTCAAGACAGCTGTTCAGCCTTGCTTGACCAGCTTTGCACTTTAAGCTACCCTACTGAGTGCAGGGTTAGATACCACTTGTAATAATATCCAATTTGCCCACAACTAGAAGGGGTACGGGTGGCCCAGTCGTCTAAGGCACCGCGATTCACTGTGCAGAGTTGCGCCACTTGGGCATGTCAGAAACCTTTGATTGTGGGTTTCGAATCTCGGTTCGCCCCGATTATGTTTCTAGGTTTGTCAGCACCATACGCGTGCTCGTGGATTTCACCGAAGTGGTAAACGTCTGAGACCTGCATCACTTCAGGCTTTCCTCCCACATTAAGCTGACACGCCGCGATATAACTGGAATACTGTGAAAAGCGGCGTTAAACCCAACTCACTCACTCACTCACTCACTCACTCACTCACTCACTCAGTTATAACGTGGTAAAGCATGGCTCCCAAAATTTACTAACATTTTTAATAAACTCAAGTTTTCAAATGACACGATGTTTTCCCCCATCTCAGAAAACATTATCAGCTGATCACCGCGATCAGGTAACACCGGAAATACCAGTCAACAAATCCGAACTGAAGAACGCAATTTAATCCGATTATTAACATATCTGGTAATAAAAAAATTGTTCATTGTTTATCTGGACTAATGTTTGCAATATATTTTTTAATTATATTCAAAATTTCATTCAATAATTGTATGCGAAGTGATCAGTAGATCGCACAACTCACCGTTATTAACAGCAACCGCAGTCAGATTACTGATATTGATGCCTTGAAACGAACTTTAGTTGCAAGAGAATGGATACACATTTCAGAAATGCCGTACCATGACTCGCTAAAAGTCATATTTGGGCCAGTTTGACTATTAAATGTCAACATTATGTTTTCACAGTCGAAATACATGTAGCCCGGGAAGTCCCTACGGAGATTGGTCAAAATTGTACCATACGTCAAAAAGTATCCTGCATACAATCTGTACCAAAGTGCTATGCTTATGGTTCTTATAATTTTAAGTAAATATGGTGGAAGCTTCAACTAAAATAACACGATATTGGAATATATTATTCCTGATAAAATGATAATTTTAGATACAATTTCTTCCGACAACCCTGCAACAAAATTCTTTGAAGATGTATCATTTGGTACGTTTTACTGAATCACCGTTAGATACGGAGGAAACGTGTGCACAGCTGATTGCTATTTCCGGCTTAGTTTACGAGAAAATACACACAGTAATCTTAATCTCTGCATATAAAACAATGCCTTTGAGAGCAGGAAATACATTTTAAATGGAAAATCATGTCTAGTTATGTTTTATATCAAATTTCATACTTTTATTGACCAAGTTTGTTATACCTGTTTATTCACCTGAATTCGCTGAAGGGATACGATGTGTTTGTTCTTTTTGAAAGCGCATATTGATACTCAATAAAACTTTTTTTTACACTATGAGTCATAAATAACTCCTATTCCAGTCTTTTTTGAAACTCTGAAATGTGCAATGTAGATCGTGTTAGGTAGGCAGAACATGTTTTGTTGGTCATCCACCACCTTCGACTCGACCTTCGTTAAACCGCTGATCATCTATAATGCTCATCAATTATTTGGAACCCGAAGGTTGCGTTGTAGCGAGGGATCACTGTAGCTAGATTTTAGTCATCGATTTCCTCTAGCCTCTGATTTACAGACTGGAGGCTGTGTCTATCCTTGTAGTGTCTGCTTTGCTACATAACTTGGAATGAAAAATTTGTTATGAATTTGTGGTGTTCAAGTCACTTTAGATTGTAAAATCCTGTGGACCCTGCAAAAGCAAATCTTTTTTATTTATTATCCCCCGCCGCGCGAAAGCGCGAAGCGGGGGATATAGTATTCACGACCGTCCGTACGTCCGTCCGTACGTCTGTCCGTACGTCCGTCCGTACGTCCCACCTGTTTGTTGCCACGATATCTCAAGAACTAAACACTGGATTGTCTTCATATTTGGAACTATGGTGTATATACAGACTCCGCAGACACCAGTCGGTTTTGGTGACCTTGATCCCATTTTCAAGGTCACAGCAGACAAATCTGCTTTTAGAGTTGGAAAACGGTGTTGCCGCGATATCTCAAGAACTAAACTCTGGATTGTCTTCATATTTGGAACTATGGTGTATATACAGACTCCGCAGACACCAGTCGGTTTTGGTGACCTTGATCCCATTTTCAAGGTCACAGCAGACAAATCTGCTTTTAGAGTTGGAAAACGGTGTTGCCGCGATATCTCAAGAACTAAACACTGGATTGTCTTCATATTTGGAACTATGGTGTATATACAGACACCGCAGACACCAGTCGGTTTTGGTGACCTTGACCCCATTTTCAAGGTCACAGCAGGCAAATCTGCTTTTGGAGTTGGAAAACGGTGTTGCCGCGATATCTCAAGAACTAAACACTGGATTGTCTTCATATTTGGAACTATAGTGTATATACAGACTCCGCAGACACCAGTCGGTTTTGGTGACCTTGATCCCATTTTCAAGGTCACAGCAGGCAAATCTGCTTTTAGAGTTGGAAAACGGTGTTGCCACAATATCTCAAGAACTAAACCTCTCGATTGTCTTCATATTTGGAACTATGGTGTATATACAGACACCGCATACACCTGTCAGATTTGGTGACCTTGACTCCATTTTCAAGGTCACAGCAGGCAAATCTGTTTTTGGAGTTGGAAAACGGTGTTGCCACAATATCTCAAGAACTAATTGCTGGATTGTCTTCATATTTGGTACTATGGTGTATATGGCGGGGGATATTTCGTCACTCTGTGACAAATACTTGTTTTTATTTATTTATTTTTGTATTTATTTTTGTATTTATTTTATTTTTATTTTTTTGAATTATTATTATTATTACTATCATTTTTTGTATTTATTTTTTTTTTTTTTTTTTTTTTTTTATTGGACAAGATGTTTTGCCCAAAGGGAGATATTTCTCCCTAATAAAGTGAAGGTTGTTGGCTCAATGTGCGTTTCGACAACTTGAGGATACCACCTTTGATGTCTTACCTTTTTAACTGACATTTTCTGGATTGTGTCTTTAAAACATCTTTCTCTACACATTTCTGTGTTAACTGTCAGTGCAATTTTTCTTCAAAAATAGGCACTGGATCTCTGAGTTCCGGTCAGCCAAGTCTGGCCTCCATGTTCAAGTCGTCCGCAGGAAGTTGGGACTGTGACATGTGCATGATACAGAACAAGCCAGAAGACACTAAGTGTGTGGCCTGTAAAACTCCCAAACCTGGAGCCAAGACATCAGGTAATGCGCCTAATCCCAAACTAGTCTTCTCAATGTTCAGGAGCATTAGTAAACTGAGCTGCAGTTTGACATTGATGATGCTGTCTTTATTAAAATAAACATAATGTTTAATATTCTTTTAAAAATAATTTGCCGGTTACTGAAACAATGAAAATAAAAAATAAAAAGGTACATGGATATTAAGAAATCTTACTTTATTGCAGAAAATCGCTACAATTTTCACTTCCTTAGTGATCAATCCAGATATAATGAATGCTTACATCTTTGGTTATAAACAAACTTAAGTTGTAAATGCATTATTTTAATAATTTGTTAAACGTAACTTTCATATTTAGAAACAGTAGGATTTGACCTTTCAAATGGAGTATAACATCTTGCAACAAAGATGTTTGCACAAGTTGATAATTTCCTTGATGAATGTAGGCTTCATCGATCACAGCAGAGTCTCTTGGTGTCATAGCAGTAAAACCTTAGTTGACTGCTGTTGAAAGTGTTAACTTCGTACTGGTAGGAGTAGTTGTCTCAACTTTTTAAAACCTAAAATATCCTTAATTCAAGTTCAGAGAGTTAGTACCTGACTGTAAAATATGACTTGTCCACAGGGTGGGTAATGTTGTTATTTTTCCCGTCCCTCGTGGAATTAACTGGTCTTGGACGTGTGTTTGTTTGCAAATGTTTTTTCCCGGGAAATGAATTTTATACAAATTTAAAGAAAGCTTTGTAACATTTCTGCTAAAGGGACTGGATCTCTGAGTTCCGGTCAGCCAAGTCTGTCCTCCATGTTCAAGTCCTCCGCAGGAAGTTGGGACTGTGACATGTGCATGATTCAGAACAAGCCAGAAGACACCAAGTGTGTGGCCTGTAAAACTCCCAAACCTGGAGCCAAGACATCAGGTAAAATGAGATTTATGAATTATTAAATTTAGTTGAGACATTGTATTGGAAGACTATTAATGCTTGAGTACCTAAAACATAAAACCATCAAAGTGAAATATAAATGTCATTCCCATCCCTGTTGTGGTGAGGCTTGTCAGGTGTAGTACCTCTTTGCCTTGTGTTTTTTTTTGTTTTGATAGTTTGTTGTTTAACGCTGCACTCAGCAATATTCCAGCTATTTCACGGTGGTCCATAAATATCTAGTCTGGATCAGACAATCCAGTGACTGATATCAGGAGCATCGATCTACACAATTAAGATACGATGACATGCATCAAACCAAGTCAGTGAGCCTGACCACCGATCCCGTTAGCGGCCTCTTACGACAAGCATAGTGGCCTTTTACGGCAACCTTGGGTTATCGAAGACCTATTCCAGCCCGGGTCTTCACGGGTTCTTTGCCTTGTGACTGGATGACCTGTATAGCCATGTAAGGCTGTGCATAGATATAGATATCGGTGCTTGTTGACAGAGCAGCTGAACACTGGTGGGGGATCTTTTACTTATGCTTTCCGCCACTGTGTTATTTGTTGGCCCAGGCTAGATTATTCACAAGCTATCTTAATACAGCGTCAGGCCTTCGGACCATCCTTGTGGTCTAGTGGTAGAGCATCGGCCCGGGGACCGGGGTTTGTTCCCCGTCTGCGTCAAAAGACGTTAAGAGATGCTACTTCTTGTTACCCTATCTGTTTCTTGGCATTAAGGGGCTTATAAGGACTGGTCGGCTCGGAGTCAGTATAAGGTGTCTGAGGGGGGTATTTATGTTAAACTGCTGCATGGTATCTCAGTAGGCTAGCACTATAAGACCTGGACAAGTACAAGCAGACACGCACACGCACACGCACACATTACTATATGAGTGCAGTAATATTGAATCAACCAATGTCTAAAGTTGTGGTTAGCTAATGAAATGAGACTGTATTATTCCGTTCATGAACCAAGGTGTTTGTGTGAAGATGTAAACCGAGTCATCACTGGTGTCCCTCCTACTGGAGCGAGTCCGTCTCCTGATTTGTTGGTTGTAGATACACCGCAGAGCATACACATGTAATATGGGGATGATCGGGGGACATAGTGTATATACCCACAAGTATTGACGATGCCAATTTATGGCTATCAGGTATAATTCGAGGGTGAGGCCTTGTGCCTATAGCACCTAAATTTGAAAAAAGGCCCACATTTTAAAAGAAATGGGGCATTTTTACATTGTGCTGTACGGGCGTACCTCTGGAATATTTGAAATTTTAACGTAACGGGTCCATGTCAGAAAATTCCTAGTGAATCCTGGGCTATGTTACAAGTGTTACAGTCTGTGTCAAGTCCAACTCATTGAGTCTAAACTACCGAGAAAGAACACTTCCCAATAATTGCTATTTTACCATCTTGCTGTAGGGACACCGGAGACGAAGACAAACAGTACAATCGGTGCATCTGGATTCCAAATCAGTGGATCTATGTTCGGCAGTGGAACAGCTTCTAGTGGAGGAGGGTTTGGTGGTTTTGGAAAGTCAGCCTTATCCACTGGAGGCTTCAGCATGGGATCTACAGATTCAAAGAATGCTGGCTTGGAAGGTGGATTTAAGATTGGTTCTGGTTTTAGTTTTGGACAGCCTTCCACTAAGGGGAGTGACTCAAAATCTGCATCTAGTGACAATGAAGCAAAAGATGGAAGTTCTAGTAAAGGTGATTCTAATAGTGTATCAAATGTACTTAGCTCTCAAAAGACTTCTAGTATATCTGGTGGCTTTCAATTTGGAACTCTCGATAAGAAGCCAGTTCAAGAATCGGAAGGCATTGTGAACAGTTTCAAAGCCAGCACAGAGACCCAAGTGTCGGAATCTAAATCGTCTGGGTTTGGATTTGGTGGGTCTGCTTCTGAGGCCAGTAAAACAAGTACTACTAGTGAACCTAGTGGAACGGACTCGTCCAATGGGAAATTAGCCTTTGGACAAAAATCAGACTCTACTGCAGAGAAAAAGAGTGACAATATATTTGGTTCTGGCAATTCTCTGAGCAGTGCCACAGGTTTTAGTTTTGGTCAGAGTGGTGCCACATCAATTGCTTCACCTGGAGGATTCTCATTTGGAGCAACGGCAGCCACGACAACTGCTACAGCTAACACAACATCTACAGGTGAGTAAAATGTAGTGTTAAAAGCAGATAAGCTAAAGAAAACGAAAGTCATGTTTAGCTTTAAATATGTTGGAGACATTACAAGTACTGTATATACCCTGATGCTTAGTTTTAGAAGCATGACAAGTGAATATTTATATACCCTGACATTTTCAAGCCATTTACAATTGGATAGCAGTGTCCAGAATTCAGTATAAAAGTCTTGGGGTCCTGTCCTTGTCGTAACCCGATTGTAAAAAGATGAACATTTAGAGTGTCCTGAGACAAAAGTACCGTACACGCACCCCAGGACCCCCCTTCATGTCAAACACTGGGTCGGGATATGTTGTTAGTAAATAATACTTGGACAAGTAACCACAGACAAGACTTTCACTCTCAGCTTAGGGCTGGCTAAATTGGTGTCCGTTCAAACCCCAAGGTAGGTGCTAGTTGTTGTTCAGATATCAACCACTGGACTTGATTTAGCCATATAAGAAAAATGCAACCTTTTATTTATGTTATTTATGTAAAACCAAATTTGGGTCCAACTTACCGAACAGTCTTTGAACACACTCCATAGGTCTAAGCTTTATTTACCATATTACATCACTAATCGCTGTGTTGTATGTAATTCATGACACATGACATAGTCCTCAGAGATCTGATATTGTACTAACTGAGACTTGCTTATGCATCTGATTCAACTTCGATAAATTTATGGGACCAGGGTGCAACCTGGTTTTGTCTGGTGTGACCAACTTTTCATTTTCATGTCAACATGCACCATGTACAACTTTAAACAAGTTTGGCCTGTGAAGATCCGGGTAGAGAATAGGCCTTTGGCAACCCATGCTTGCCGTAAAAGTCGACTGTTTGCCGTAAGAGGCGACTCACAGGATCGGGTGGTCAGGCTCGCTGACTTGGTTGATGCACGTCATCGTATCCCAATTGTGTAGATCGATGCTCATGATGTCAATCACTGGATTGTCTGGTCCAGACTGGATTATTTACAAACCCGCCGTCATTCAGCTGGAATTTTGCTGAGTGAGGACAAAACAGTTCCCTAAGTTTTAAGAATAATTGAGTATTGAGGATGATCTGAATAAGTAGACTGGAGCCTGGAATACATTTCTGTCAACAAAAACATCAATTGGGATGTTAAATAAAATACAGCTAATAATAGGAAGTTTTGAAAGATGCCTTGAGATATACTTTGACCAAAATTGACAGTTTAAAGTGTTAGTTTATAAAAAGTTAAACATATTAGTTTATTCTTGCTGTAATCAGCTCTTTTGAATTTTGTCCAGTAGATGATGATATTGTCTGACACCTCGTATGAGATAAAGTGATTTCATTGCACAAAATTCTGATACTGGATTAATAAATCATATTAATTTGGGGAATTTGGTTATGTGAGGTCACATGTGTCAGATGTTGGTTGTGTGGTTGGTATGAGGCAGGCATATGTTATATGTTACATGCATTCTATACAATTTTTGGTCAGGGAAGTACTCAGAGGCAACCTAGAGTTCATTTTCGGGCAGACAGGCGACTCACAGGATCGGGTGGTCAGGCTCGCCGACTTGGTTGATGCACGTCATCGTATCCCAATTGTGTAGATCGATGTTCATGATGTCAATCACTGGATTGTCTGGTCCAGACTGGATTATTTACAGACCACTGTCATTCAGCTGAAATATTGCTGAGTGCAGACAGAACAGTTCCCTAACTTTTAAGAATAATTGAGTATTGAGGATGATCTGAATAAGTAGACTGGAGCCTGGAATACATTTCCATCAACAAAAACATCAATTGGGATGTTAAATAAAATACAGCTAAAAATAGTAGAAAGTTTTGAAAGATGTCTTGAGATATACTTTGACCAAAATTGACAGTTTAAAGTGTTTGTATATCATGGTATATAAAAAATTAAACATATTAGTTTATTCTTGCTGAAGTCAGCTCTTTTGAATTTTGTCCAGTAGATGATGATATTGTCTGACACCTCGTATGAGATAAAGTGATTTCATTGCACAAAATTCTGATACTGGATTAATTAATCATATTAATTTGGGGAATTTGGTTATGTGAGGTCACATGTGTCACATGTGGGTTGTGTGGTTGGTATGAGTCAGGCATATGTTATATGTTACATGCATTCTGTGCAATATTTGGTCAGGGAAGTTCTCAGAGGCAACCTTGAGTTCATTTTCGGGCAGACAGGCGACTCACAGGATTGGGTGGTCAGGCTCGCTGACTTGGTTGATGCACGTCATCGTATCCCAATTGTGTAGATCGATGTTCATGATGTCAATCACTGGATTGTCTGGTCCAGACTCTATTAATTACAGACTGCCGTCAAATAGCTGGAATATTGAGTGCGGCTTTAAACAACAAACATAAGACAAGTTTCTGAAGTCGAGCCCTTGGTAATTGTGATTAAATTATTTTGACTCGTGTCTTATAATAAGAGTTGAGGGTATGAAATTCTAATTTGATTGAATGAATGTTTGGGGAGTCCCTAAATTATTGTACAAGAAGAAAACTGGTAGGATCCAAGCCTTCCCTTCTTACACTGCATAACAGGTGTTAAAGAGTTATTGATACTCTTCTTTGAGATTGTGTGTACACTGACAGTTCAGTTGATGATTGCTTACTTTGAGGGATAGGCTTCTGCTAAACTCTATTATTTTGTCTTCTGACTGAAGGAAATGGAAACTCCCTGTGCTATGTTCCTGAAGAACAGAAAACATCTCAGCCAAACACACCCCTCCCACATGCAGGCACATCGGAACCACATGACCAAATCCAAAACCATCTGACTTGCATAGCTACAGATAAGCAGCATATTTGCGTAAAATACACCCACCCAGCCCAAATATTCAAAACCCAATTACTTTCAATAAACTTAATCACGCATACTCAAATGTACAAAAACAGCTCGCGTAAATACCAAATATGGGCTTTTTCAGCATGCGTACAAAGGAGCTCTTATTTTCGCCCCAACAAGAGTTGGTTGTGTGGTTTCCAGTGCATCTACAAGTTGGAGGGGTGTGTTTGGGTGAGATGTTTCCGTCTCTGGGAACACAGCACAGGAAGTTTCCACTTCCTTTTGGGAATAAGAAAGATAACCAATTAGTATTAGTCAGGATAAGCATAAATGATGGTTTTAACCTAAAAATAAATTCATTTCTATACAGGCATTATGTCCAGTGGGTTTTCCTTCGGACAAGACAAGACCGACAGTAAGGCTGTGTTTGGCACCATGCCAGCTACCACTACGGAAGCCAGCAAGCCTGTTGCTGCAACCAACAACTCCCTGTTCGCATTCGGTCAACCAGTCGCCGGCGGCAACACAGACAACAACAAACCTCTGGGAGTGGGTGGGGGATTCCCCTTCACTGCCAACACAGACACATCAACAGCAGCAGCTGCCCCGAAGCGAGGACGGGATGAGGGTGAGGAGGACCTTCATGGAAGGGAAAGGATAGAAAATGACTAGTTATTAGAATAAATACTCTGATTTCATGAGCATTTTGGACCCGTGAAGATCCGGGTAGAATAGGTCTTCAGCAACCAATGCTTGCCATAAAAAGCGACTATGCTTGTCGTAAGAGGCGACTAACGGGATCGGGTGGTCAGGCTCGCTGACTTGGTTGATGCATGTTATCGAACCTCATTGCGTGGATCGATGTTCATGATGTCAGTCACTGGATTGTCTGGTCCAGACAAGATTATTTACAGACCTTGGTCATATAGGTGGAATATTGCTTAGTGCGGTGTTAAACAACAAACAATAACAACATGGGCATTTTGTTAGTTTTCCCCAACTATACAGTTATGTTTGGTTGTCTTGAGTCTTTATATCTGCCTGTAATACTGATATTTTTTAACTTATCCTGCATGAGAAAAGTGGTGCTGATCTGTGACGTCACCCCTTCCATGGTCACATTGGAGCTGTGTGATAGAGTTAACCACTCAGCTAGTTGAAACAACTTCTTCAGCAAGACCTCACACAGCTCTTTCTCACTGTCAAGAACAAGCAGTAAATGCTAGTAGTGGGACGATACATTGATGCATCGGTGGATCGCTATTTTTTCCTTCTCGATACAAGTATCAATCACAGTCGCACACTAAGGACAAAATATCGATTCTGACCTTAAATGTTTGCTTTAATAACTGTTCCACTAAACACTGATCAGTAGTGCAAGTTAATGGTGAAAACATACATATCTTCATTTGTTGTGCCATACTTGACACTGCCAACTGTAAATCATCAGTGGGCCAGGTATTTGGCCATCCTCTCTATGAAAAAGATGGCTTACGCACCACAGATAAGAGCACAAGCAAGTTTTGTGATACGAATCTGATCGCACAGTTGGTGTCGTCCCAGCCCTAGTAGAGGCATTAAAGAGAAATGCAGTATACAAATGTAAAGAATATCTGGGATTTTACTAGTTTCTTTATACTTAATTCATATAGCTGGAAATAATATCACTTTATCAGTTTTATTATCTCCCCTTGCTGTCTTGAACTTGACCTCCTGGCTTGTTTCAGGACCTTGGGATCAGAAAAACCACATGCTTTAGCTCTTGATCTGCACAGAACTGTTAGCTTCTTCTGTCTGATATAGGGGTGGTCGGGTAGCCTAGTGGTTAAAGCATTCGCTCGTCACGCCGAAGACCAAGGTTCGATTCCCGACATGGGTACAATGTGTGAAGCCCATTTCTGGTGTACCCCGCCGTGATATTGCTGGAATATTGCTAAAAGTGGTGTAAAACCATCCTCACTCACTCTCAGATATATCTGTTGAATGTCAATCATCACAGAGAATCCTTGTTGCAGAGTCAGGAGCACCTGCAGCCAAGAAGTCCTTCTCGTTCGGGCAGTCCACAAACTCTACCTCAACAGGTGGCTTCAACTTTGGTGCATCGGCATCTGTGACATCTGCAAGTGGCGTCTTCAACTTTGGTGTCAACTCCACCAGCAGCGGTGAGTGACCGGAGTACACTCTCTTTGTTGTCCTGTAGCGGTGTAGATACTTGTCATCTGTAGATTTTTCTCCTACATGAAGTTGACACGCTGTGATGTTACTATGATTCTGTGTTAATCCCTACTCATTCACTTCCAAAACTTTCATAGTTGTTCATTTTGTGTCACTGTCAGATTTGTTGACTTGGCGTTTAAGATACAGTTAGAAAATTGTCATCAGCAATGACATATTTCCCCTCCTGTATGTCTGCCTTCATTACAGCATCGACTGCGGCAGGGACGACGACTTCAACCCCATCATTCTCATTCGGAGCTGCCCAGCCAGCACCTACTGCAAGCACACCTTTCCAGTTCTCCGCTCAAACAGCATCCTCCGGAACCAACTCAGTATTCCAGTTCGGGAACAGCTCCGCTGGATCACAGACAGGGTTTGCATTCGGTTCCTCCGCCCCAGCAACAACTACGGCACCGTTTGGCACCACCAACACCCTTCCTCAGCCAGCGTTCGGCAACACCGCCAACAGCACCCCTCAGACCGGAGCCCAGGGCGGGGGGATGTTCAGCAACTCCACGTCGGTGTTTGGAGCCAACAACAGTGCCACACCAGTGCCTGCGTTTGGAGCTGCAGATCAGAATGCCAACTCAGGAGGCTTCTCATTCAAGATGGCAGGCCCAAACAACCAAAGTAAGCAGTTTGCGCCAATAACAAAAACTAGCCTGAACTCCTTTTTCAGTAGGACCGCCTCCCTGGTCTAATGGTATAGCGTCCGCCCGGAGAGCGGAAGGTCCGGGGTTCGATCCCCGACAGCGTCATACCAAAAGACGTTAAAAGATGGTACTTGTTACCCTGTGTGGCGCTCGGCATTAAGGGGCCAAAATAAGGACTGGTCGGCTCAGAGTCAGTATACTGTGTCTGAGTGGAGTATTCATGTTAAACTGCGGCATGGTATCTCAGTGTGCTAGCACTATAAATCGGCATTAGTCCGGACTAGTACAAGCCGCCACACACACACATACACATGCATGCACGTTGCTATATAAGTGCAATAATCTTGGACGCGACGTTAAACCCCATTTCACCTCACCTCACCTTTTTCAGTAGATAACTTTTGATTGGTGATGGTGAAGTCAAGAATTTTTTTGTTCTGAGATTTCTCAGTGTTATCAAACTAGCATTCAACTAAGACAATTTGAGTCTCCTAAAGATGTGCCGATGCACTTCTTGAGCATGTTGAGTAGGATATATTAAGTCAGAGGATAACTTTAAAATATGTGAGGACGGAAAACGTTCATAAAATGTTTGTTTTGATATTAATTTTTTCAGTTGCTCTAAGTGTGAATTGAACATTTCCCTTTCCTCAGTTGTGGGAGAAAGTTGATTCTTTGATATTGGAATGTTTCTGTGAAGGAACTCCTTGTGAAACATGTCCTTCAATACCGTGTGTCTCTTGCAGGTTCCAGCACTCTCAACTCTCAACCCAGCTTCAACTTCGGGGGAGCAGGAAGTGGAGGAGTGTTCCAGTTCACCGCTAAAGGGGTATGTACTCAGGGGAGTAGAGGGGGTATATATTATACTAGGGTATGGATTGAGTGGGAGATAATAGGGTGGTTATGTAGACAGAATGGAGAGTTACGATAGTACTATTGGTTTGGATCAACGAATTCTGATACTTGTGGTCCAAGGCAAAGCAAATGGCTGTTAAGTTATGCCCCTTTGCTGACAATATTATAGTTGTTGGTTATGATGCTGTGGTAAAACAACAGTGATAATGTTCAAAGTTGTGTCAAGCAACTGCACTACTGAGTTGCTGTGGGGTCTGTACCTACTTTGTCACATGTAGGTCTTAATGATGTGACAGCCTCCGTGGTCTAGTGGTAGAGCGTCCACCTGGAGAGCGGAAGGTCCGGGGTTCGATCCCTGGCTGCGTCATACCAAAAGACGTTAAAAGATGGTACTTGTTGTTACCCTGTCTGACGCTCGGCCTTAAGGGGCTAAAACAAGGACTGGTCGGCTCGGAGTCAGTATACTGTGTCTGAGTGGGGTATTCATGTTAAACTGCGGCATGGTATCTCAGTGAGCTACCGCTATAAATTGGCATCAGTCGGACTAGTACAAGCAACCACACACACACGTACATGCACGTCGCTATATAAGTGCAATAATCTTGGACGCGACGTTAAACCTCACCTCACCCCCTCTTCATGATGTGTCACTGTTGCAGAATGAGACTTCAGCCGGTGCACCAGCCCAGGGATCCACGTCATCAGGGTTTTCCTTCGGTAGTACCCAGCAGCCCCAGCCGGCAGCCCCTGCCCCAACCTTCAACTCCACCAACGCCATGAGCTTCACAGGCGGCAACACTCCCAGCTTCACCATCGGGTACGGATCCCCCAAACAATACTCTGTTGACCCAGGTTTGAATGAGGTCCTCACACTTCATTGCCAGTCGTAATAGGCGACTATGAATACCCCAATAAAATGTGTAGACCCAGGTTTAAATAAGTCCTTAGCACTCCATTGCTGGTCATAATAGGTGTCTATGAATCCCCCAATACAAAACTGTAGGGAGTATGTTAGGATAAGACTGTAGCACACCATTGACGGTCAAAATAGGCGTCTATGAAACTAACAATACAAAACTGTAGGGAGTATGTTAGGATAAGACTGTAGCACACCATTGAAGGTCAAAATAGGCGTCTATGAAACTAACAATACAAAACTGTAGGGAGTATGTTAGAATAAGACCATAACACGCCATTGACGGTCAAAATAGGCGTCTATGAATCTCCCAATACAAAACTGTAGGGAGTATGTTAGGATAAGACTGTAGCACGCCATTGAAGGTCAAAATAGGCTTCAACGAATTCCAAATGAAGAGAGCACGCACATTAATAATCTTTGTCTGTAGGTACGTGGGGGCAATAATTTGTTGTAAGGCAAGATGTTTGGTAGTGAGGCACGCAGTGGTTATCTTCAGACATTTGGATGTCCAAAACATTCACAAAATCAGAAAGTGGAACCAGATCATGAGCATGTGGCCATTCACAAATATTCCCGAAGCATGTTGCGTTAACTGAATATAACCATCCAGTTTCCACCCTTGCCGAACTAGGCTGGAATTCCTTGGCTTGATCGTAATGCCACCAGTGGCTATCACAAGTGATGTCCCTTCTATGTCCCTCCTATTGACCAATCAGATTCCACCTCTCATATTACTTGCATTTGCTTCAAACAAAAACGCGGTGATAATCAAGATCTATATTGTAATAAGACGGCTAAGTGCATCAAATCTCTTGAACACCTTAATAAAAAACATGAAAAGATTTGCAAAATATCTGTCTATTCCCATTTGATGGTATACATGCTTTGCAAATCCTTCGGACGACTGGAATCTGCACGTTGAAATCAATGTTTACGAACCTGATGTCTCATTCGTTTCGTGATTTTGATTGGACTGTGCATAGACTTGTTAGTCCAGCCAAAGTGTAACTCCGGAATACCAGCCTAGTTTAGCAAGGGTGGAAACTGGACCTTTATGGAAAATTTAACGCCCTTGCCTTGGGAAGATGCCATTCACCAATCTTCAGCTGCAATGTAGAATGATTGTGGCTCATTCAAGTTCACTGAAAAATGTACAAGTGTGATGTATTTGTGAAGTGACTTTATTTCAATAATTTAATTACCTTAAACTCGACACATCAGTTACATAGTACTTGTCACAGGGCCGGCCAGGTATTCTAGTGGTTAAAGCATTCACTCTTCACCCTGAAGACCGGGTTCAATTCCCTACATGGGTACAATTAGTTAACCCTATTTTTGGTCTCCGCCCGCCGTGATATCGCTGGAATATTGCTAAAAGCGGTGTAAAACCATACATACTCACTCACTCGTCACAACCAGGGTCATTAAGCTCCTCCCTCCCTCTTCCTCTCTTGTCTCTTTCTCTCTTTTTAAAATGGCTGGTACATCAATAATAGGAATTGTATCTACTACGATCCTCCCACACCCCTGCCTTAAGTATCTTATTTCTCATACATACATTAACATTCTTTTCAGGAGCACTCCAGATACGGGGAGAAAAATCAAACGTGCAGTACGGAAAATCAGGAAATAAAATGGACATGGCTGTACAATTTCACATTTATTGTAAGCACTTTCCAAGCTTATGAGGAAATGAGTGGATTAGCGTCTGAAGGATCAGCCAAATAAAAAAACCATGTCAAGACATTGACACCCGAAAAATAGGCATTACCTCTCCTTGGAAAGGAAGAGAGGGAGGGTGGAATTAATCATTCACACGACTTGTGTGTCCGGAAACCTTCCGGGACAGGGAAGAAATTCAATAATGAAGATTGATCAAGTGAACAGAATGAATGTTGGAGGTACAAAAGATCGTCATGAAGATACATTCAAGATGGAGAGTATTATTGTTTGTTTTTCACTATTTATTTGGACCATGCAGAATCTTGGAGAAGACCACTTGCATAATGCAGATCTTGTTGTATCTATACCCAAAACGTGTCTACCATGGAGAAAACTTGAAAACATTGGGGCATTATCAGGCAATTAATTGTCTCCTTTTTATGTACAAACACATTAAGTTGACTCGCTGCAAATTTCCATGTGTTAAATCATGTTGGCTTTGAGACAGTGGAGACAGCAGTGGCTTGCCTTTCATGTGTACTCTTCAGGACATTGATAATCCATAAACAAATGCCCCAGATTCAATTAGACGGTTTATAATGCCTGGAAACTCTGCTAAAAGGTCTTTCACCCATCAGGTTATTTAATTATCTTGGCATTGATGGGGTAGGAGCCGTGGCATCAAGAGCTTCAGCATTGAAAAAGAAGAGGACTTCGAGCCATGTCAATGTGCAATTTTGCCTTCATTTTGAGTAGCCAGTTCACACACTTTTTGATCCTGAAATGAACTCGTATTAATCTGGTCAGTGATTCAAGGTAGTTTGTTGTTGAAAAGCCATTTGACATGATCATCTGTGTCAGATTTGGAATTATTTGTGAATCAACAAAACTTTTGACCTGGCCCAGTGCCTTTTTGAAAGAGAATAGTGAGAGACAGAAGTCGCGGAGAGATGAACCATTCGTTTTCTGATGTATTACTGCAGTTTTACCCCTATCACAGGTGTGAATTGTGTATCGTGTATGTGGTTGTCCTGTATTGTGTCTCTTTGGAACTTAAAGAACATGAGGTTTGATCCATTGATTCCATAAATAAAGAGTCTTCCGGTTATGTAAATTTGAAAAAAAGTGGTCCGAAATCATCAGGAATGATTGTCATTTGATGGATGATTTCCCGATGCGGTTTTATCCCAGAAACACTGCTGATGGTTTGGTTGAGTTGCAAGCAGTGTAGTCATTGGTCAGTTTGACCAAGCTTCATCAAGATGGGTTTACTGTTCCATATCTATGTAGATCAAGGGAAACCAAGGTTGTTTGGTGATCACAATGTTAGTGCCATATCAGGTTGTCAGACCGTTTTGCCAGAGTGAAGAATTGGGAGGTATAACACGTTAGTCATTTGACACTTTGATTTTATACAAGTAACAAAATGTTTCAGAGATGAAAAAAAAAGAACAAAGGCATTTTCATAACTAAGCTTAGGTTTCTCAGGGTTTTTTTTAGCTTTTGGCAAGTAATTCACTCATCGAATGTTTTGATTTAAGTTTAATAATATTGTCACAGGATAATAAAAAAATCAGGAAATGGTTTGAAAATAGGGCTGTTATTTTTGAATACCTTGACTGTGTCTTGGTGCCTTGCCAATGATTATGTCCATTGCTAGGATGTAACAGTGTTTAACAAAGTACTTATAAAATAACATGGTGTAGTCTGCTGTATGGTGATAATGCAGATTTGGACACATGCTCTTTTATTGTATTCTTGGGATCATCTAAAATGCCAAGTTGAAAATCTAACAATCTTTTAAAGTGTTGACAGATGTGAAGAATTGATACTGTATTTGTCCACAGAGATGGTATCGTGGTATTGCCCAGCATCACAGCACATCATTCCTATCACTGGATTGTCTGGTCCAGACTCGGTTGTTTACAGACCGCCGTCAAATAGCTAGAATATTGCGGAGTGCGGCGTTGAACAACAATCAATAATCCAATGTTGATGAGGTCCTGTACACACTCGTCACTCCTGAACGTTTTGGTGGACTGGTGAAGGGACAAATATATGTCATTAAATTACTGTTAAATATCAATGTTTGTCAAAAGGGTTCTATTTGTAATGGGTGTTTATTATCAGAAATGGGCAAGCACATCAAGTAATATATGTTAAAATTTCATTTGGGGTATACACTGAAGAAGTAATACAAGATCGTGTTTAATGAATGATCTTTTTTTTTGTAAGATATCGGTGATGCTGGGAGGCTGTGGGGAAGATGTGGTGATGATCATTGAGTTAGTGTTATTGGTGTGTCTTTGTATGTGTATGAGGTGCACAAATGTTAAACATTGTTATGTGTTATGTCGTGGTAGTGAGCTTGACCCTCCATATAGCCCTCCAAGCCCTGTTAATTACTAAAGTGTTATTATTGGGTGCTACTCTCATCAAGTAAGCAGTGTGGAGATAGGGTTGTATATCGGTTGTTATCACTCCTTTCTCTCGTATCAGACAGGGTATGTATTCATAGTGTTGGAACAAACAAGATTCTATTTTTGTATTGGTTTGGAGGTTTTGAGCTGATTGTCCTTTTACACATTTGATTAGAAGATATACATCAGTGTTCTGTCTACCCACTCTATGGATACACTTTGGGCATTCAGCATCCGAATCTAGTTATTAGATATGTTCCAATATGCAATTGTTTGGTTTGTCTCCAAGACTGCCATAAGACAGAACAGTCATTTGAGAAGATCAATAGAGTTGGAAGACGGCAAGAACCGTTTGGTTGGATTCTCTAAATTAGCATTTCTTTCATGCAAAGCGTAGATATTAATATATGTAACTAGATATTAGTTTGGTGTAGCTCTGAACTTAACACTTTATCATTGGACCATATCTCTGAAAGAAACCTTTAATGGAACATTTGGGTAAAGATTCAGAGAAATCTGGCAAGCAGCAGGAAATGATGGTATCTTCAGAGTTTGTCCAAACCGTTGGTTCCGTTCCAGGATGTAATTCTCAGGTCCTAGGTCTGGTAATGTAGATCAAAATGGACTGTATTGACAGGATCTCTCGGGGCTTGTTTATTGTAAAGCTGTAGATTTTATTCCTCAGGTTTGCCTGAGCAGAGGTGTTGCTGGAGATGCCTCGAGACCCTTCTCAGTGCATTAGGAAGACTTACTTGATGATAAGAGCACTACCAAATTCTAGTCCTGTCGGTCACTGGCAGCCAGTGAGGGTCCAGGTCATTACACATCTACAATATTTTGTACATCTTGTAAATTTCAAATTTTTATTATCGATTGAACTTGGGAGCATGAAGACTATTTCAGGTGAATGAATATCTTGTTTGTTATTTGGAAGTGTACATTTTCCATGCAGGAATGAAGTGTTTTATAAAAGAAGTTTCACAAAAAGTCCATTAATATTAACCTCAATCTGATTGTGATCATGGTCTCAAATTGTCCACTTGGGATGATACTGTACATAGAAATTTCTGTTGTATGTCCACACTCAGTTTGCTTCTCATTGTATATACTCCATAGTAAAGCTCCTATGATTTGGTAAGCTTTCATTGAATTTCGTAAGCAGGTGCTCAACAAGATTGTAATTCACAATTTTTCCATTTTCATTGATCATACGATATTGTACAGTGTAGTTCAACTTGTATGAAGGGCTTGCACCAGGCCATCTATCACCAATGAGTAAGGCAGGGAATTAGACAAGGGTTGATGACTCACCGAATTGTTTTGTTAGTACTTTTCATTCCATATTTTGCCACGTATGACAATCCAATGTGCCAAATAATCTGAATTTAGATTATTTTATCTTCAGAACCAAAAAACAAATTCAGTTGCATCAATATTTCAGTATGCATGTGTTTGATGTAAACAAAATGTACATAGATATACTGCCATATTAAGGAAGAGATACTGGGAAATACTATTCGTAACTGAATAATTTGATTGGTATTATACTTACTACAGCGTGTTAATGGCTCCTACTGCATGATATATCAGTTTAATCAATATCGCCAATAAGTTTGCACATTTAAGAAAAGCTACATTTTTATACAAATATGTTTCTATGTCAAACATTTCTGTTTTATCCCAGTGTACTTCTAGCCAATAATTCTTGTCACTTAATGATACAAGCCTGGTTCGAGTTCTCTGCCAATTTGTGATGTCTTTGCTTTTGTTGGTGTAAATATAAGAAAATCGAAGGACAACTATCAAACAGAGACTGAACAAACTGTGATACCGTTTTTTTTTCTGTTTAATTTTTTTTTGTGGCTCACAATGCTAGCAGTCTCGGCAGAATTTCACAGACTCGAAGCCCTCGTGTATTAAGCTGGGCAAGGAGTAGAATCGTGTGGCTACATTAGCCATATACATAGGGAAATTCATTGGGAGAAGACCTGTTTCTCCTCGAAAAATCAAATGTAAATTTGTTATACATAAATTGTTGACTTTGGGCAAGATAGGAGTGTGAAAGGATGACTTTGAAATTTGCGAGAGAAAGAGATTGTTTCTGAAAAATATTCTATTTGTGAGAAAGTTGAACATTGAACGAAAAGTGCTGTGAAATTCTGCATTTGTAAATATCTCCATAACGGTGAATGGTGTATGAGTTAATTTGGTATATGCATTTGTCACGCGGAAATAAATCTTGAGTTGACCCCTTGAAAATAAGGACTTTTGTTTTGACTATTAGTACAGAGAAGACAACTGATGTGACATGACATCAGCAAAACAAACCAGAACAGGAGCGTCAACACATCCAGCTGAATGACATGTCGTCAACACAACCAGCAGAGGGGCGGTCAGGTAGTCTAGTGGTTAAAGCGTTTGCTCGTCACGCAAATGACCCTGTTCAATTCCTGACATGGGTACAATGTGTGAAGCCCATTTCTGGTGTCCCCCGCTGTGATATTGTTGGAATATTGCTTATAAAGTGGCGTAAAACTCGCTCTCTCACTCACTCACTCACTCACTCACTCACTCACTCACTCACTCACTCACATCCAGCAGAACAAGGGCGGTCGGGTAGCCTAGTGGTTAAAGCGTTCGCTCGTCACGCTGAAGACCCGGGTTCCATTCCCGACATGGGTACAATGTGTGAAGCCCATTTCTGGTGTCCCCCGCCGTGATATTGCTGGAATATTGCTAAAAGCGGCGTAAAAACCATACTCAGTCAGTCAGTCAGTCCAGCAGAACAATATGTCAAAAACGCAACCAGCAGAATGACGTCTTCAACACATACTACTAAACATTGTCTTCGAAACAACACAACCTGGTGAATGACATGTCATCAACACATCTTTTTGAGAACCATGTCTGCACAATCCAAACCTGCTGAACCCCATGTTACCATATGTCATCCACACATCTGGGATTCAAACCTATGATCATTTGAATTAGACATGACCAAGTATCATACCCAGGTCAGATTTGGGATTGAGTCCAGGAGCAGGAAGCTCACTTTTGGCTAAGGGATGCAACTCTGCACAGTAAATTCAATACTCACTTCATAATACCAAGGGGGCATGGGTGGCCCAGTCGTCTAAGGCGCCACGATTCGCTGTGCACAGTTGCATCCCTTGGGCACGCCAGAAACCTATGATTGTGAGTTCGAATCCCGGTTCGCCCCGATTATGTTTCTAGGTTTGTCAGCACTGTACCAGTGCTCGTGGGTTTCACCAAATTGGTAAACGTCTGAGACCTGCATCACTTTGGGCTTTCTTCCCACATTAAGCTGACACACCATGATATAACTGGAATACTGTTAAAAGCGGCGTTAAACCCAACTCACTCACTCACTCACTCACTCACTCACTCATAATACCAATGGACTACTGGAGCAGAATGCAAATCAGTGTCTTGAGAAATAAGACCAGCTAAGATCCGAAGTTGTGTTGACATGCTCAGCCAGATGTGTTGTGTTGATGAAATGGGGCTTAGCAGGAGGTGATGTGAGCGACATGTCATCAACGCAACCTGCTGAGCGACACTCCATCAACACAACTTGGTAAGCGACATGTCATCAATACATCCTGCTGTGCGACATGTCAACACATCTTAGTAAGCGACATGTCATCAACACAACTTGGTGAGCGCATTGTCATCAACACATCCTGCTGAGCGACATGTCATCAACACATCCTGCTGAGCGACATGTCATCAACACATCTTGGTGAGCAACATGTCATCAACATATCCTGCTGAGCGACATGTCATCAACACATCCTGCTGAGCAACACATCAACATATCTTGAGTGACATGTCATCAACATATCCTGCTGAGCGACATGTCATCAACACACCGTACTGAGTGACTTGTCATCAACACATCTTGGTGAGCGAAATGTCATCAACACATTCTGCTGAGCGACATGTCATCAACAGATCTTGGTGTGCGACATGTCATCAACACATCCTGCTGAGCGACATGTCATCAACACATTCTGCTGAGCGACATGTCATCAACAGATCTTGGTGAGCGACATGTCATCAACACATCCTGCTGAGCGACATGTCATCAACACATTCTGCTGAATGACATGTCATCAACAGATTTTGGTGAGCGACATGTCATCAACACATCCTGCTGAGTGACCTGTCATCAAAACATCTTGGTGAGCAACATGTCATCAACACATTCTGCTGAGCGACATGTCATCAACAGATCTTGTTGAGCGACATGTCATCAACACATCCTGCTGAGCGACATGTCAACAACACATTCTGCTGAGCGACATGTCATCAACAGATCTTGGTGAGCGACATGTCATCAACACATCCTGCTGAGTGACCTGTCATCAAAACATCTTGGTGAGCAACATGTCATCAACACATTCTGCTGAGCGACATGTCATCAAAACATCTTGGTGAGCAACATGTCATCAACACATCCTGCTGAGCGACATGTCATCAACAGATCTTGTTGAGCGACATTTCATCAACACATCCTGCTGAGCGACATGTCATCAACACATCCTGCTGAGCGACATGTCATCAACACATTCTGCTGAGCGACATGTCATCAACAGATCTTGGTGAGCGACATATCATCAACTCATCTCTGTGAGCGACATATCATCAACACATCTTGGTGAGCGACATGCTTTGTTTGTTTGTTTTGTTTGTTAGTTGTTTAACGCTGCACTCAGCAATATACCAGCGTAAGAGGCAACTAACGGGATCGGGTGGTCAGGCTCGTTGACTTGGTTGATGCATGTATGTCATCGTATCCCAGGTGCGTGGATCGATGCTCATGATGTCAATCATCTGGTCCAGACTCGATTATTTACAGACAGCCGTCATATAGCTGGAATATTGCTAAGTGCGGCGTTAAACAAACAAACAAACAACATTCACTATTGTACCTGTGGGGATTCCTGGAAAGACTAAAGGTGCCCAGCAACTTATGATTGAAGTTCCGACTCCAGGATCGGGTGGTCAGGCTCGGTGACATCTTTGATTTGATGTCATCGTATCCAATTGCATGTATCGATACTCGTGATGTCATTTGAGACTCGATTATTTATAGACTGCCGTCATATAGCTGGAATTACAGAAAAACACAAATCATTCTCTAATGAGTACTTCTATGTCTACTCAAAGTTTGCGGAGGATAATTTTCAAAGGTATAATACGTCAAATTGTGTGCATCTATTGAAATAACCAAAGACAATATTGTGTGATGTTATGTTAAATGAAAAAAAACCATCCGTTGTTATGTGCCATACAATGCCAACAAAGAACAAATAATCAGTCCGAGAACCCGTCAAAATGAGAGTATCTGACTAAAACTGAAACGCCAAAAAATTACGAAAACAATTTCATTGTGAAAATAAAACTCTCCGTAGCGCGTATGTGACCCACGTGCGGCGATCACAGCCTGGCACCGTCGTCTCCTGTCCCCAATAAGTGTCTGGATGGTTGCCAAGGAAAGATTGATCCGCTCTTCAGTAAGAGCATTGCCGAGTTCCTGTAGAGTTCCCGGAAGGACAGGGTGTCGTGAGAGGGCAATCTGAAGCTCGTTCCACGCGTGTCCGATAGGATAGGGTTGCGGTCTGGTGACCGGTTGGCCACTCCGTGCGGATAATGGTCTCCTGCTCAACGACCCTCACGATGAGGTCGTGCGTTATCGTCGATGAGGGTGAAGTGTGGTCCGATTGCACCAGTATACGGTCTCCCATACACATCCAGAATGCCATCCCCGTTGTCACACCTGTCATCGTGCCCTACTGTAGGAGGGGGCACGGGTGGCCCAGTTGTCTAAGGCGCCGCGATTCGCTGTGCACAGTTGCGTCCCTTGGGCACGCCAGAAACCTATGATTGTGGGTTTGAATCCCGGTTCGCCCCGATTATGTTTCTAGGGTTGTCAGCACCATACCCGTGCTCGTGGGTTTCACCGAAGTGGTAAACGTCTGAGACCTGCATCACTTCGGGCTTTCCTCCCATATTAAGCTGACACGCCTTGATATAACTGGAATACTGTTAAAAGCGGCGTTAAACCCAACTCACTCACTCACTCACTACTGTAGAACATGGAGATCACTTCTTCCATCTCTACCGATCCCACCCCAAATCATGATTGAACACCCTCCATAGCGGTCATGTTAGGCTACGTTGGAATCTAGGGTTGTCCTTCAAAGCTGCCGGGCGTTATCTGAGCTACCATTACAGAGTGATCAGTCGATCGTGGGGAACACATAGTCAAACCGATGCTTCCACGGTCAGGACAACCTCCTGTGACGTATTAGCGGGAAAATTGCAGCAATGATCAGTCCCAACTTTCTCATGGAAAGATGTTCCTAGTGAAAACACTTATATTAAAATATTTACCCTCGAGAAAAATAGAAGACGAACAATTTCACTATATTCAGGATATTTCAAGATATTCTTTGACATTTGTGCCTCTGATCTCCTGTGAAATGCCCACAGGGAATCGTTAAACATTGCAAGACACCCAGATTTGATACCTCAATATCCCGTTTCTACGAGAATGCATGAGTGGCATGATGCACGTGCATGTCACGGTGAGTTACGTCACCGTCAAACAAGAACCGCCACGTCCATTCGACGTCATAATCATCATTGCCATTAGTGTTGACACGTTATAATTCATTATCTGTGGAGTATTGACTCTTCCCTGGTGTATACATTTCGTGCCAAAGCGAGCTCTGCTATCTATGCCCAAGCTACCATCTTTGCTAGCGAATAAAGCACTGAATATTTGCTAGTATAAAATACATTGTCACTCACACTCGGTCAGCTGGCTCATGCAGCTTCGTGAAGACCTGGTATGTTCGTTTTTTTGGCTCATGTTATCGAAAATTTACGATTTTAACTCACTTCCGAGGATCCCAAGGGCAGACAGAAGACTCGTATCCACTGAACGAGAGCTGGTCATCCCATGCTGTAATGTCGTAGAGACGACGTGGAAGGACTCATCTATCCTCTTCAAAGGCCGTGCTGTCTCCGTAGCCGAGATGTCACACACAGCACAACGTTTGATAGACACAGTTAATAAACACTGAATGTGACTTGAGGGCTTGGAGATATTTCGGTGAAATCGATTTCTCTTAGCTTTATTTAGAGTTAGAAATTAACAGAAGAATATCGCAAAAGGAATATTGAGAAACGAGAAATACGTATATACACCTCATCAAAAGTATCGCGCC